TTCACATACTAAGTATATAGGGTATCTCTTTGTCTATAACAGCAGAAGTCTATCAATGATACAGAGAGATGTATAAACAAATATATGCAGGCAAAATGCTCTACAATCTTTTTTTTTTCAATTCCCAATATTATTATGTATTCATAGATGTCAAAAGAATGGTCATCCCAGGCAACACCAGCCAGACCACACCTCAAACTGTCAGGCCTCTTGGCACAGTTTCCCAGAGTAGTGGGCTGCTTTCTCACCATTCCCCACATGCACCATGGACTTTGACCACATCCCCTCCATGAGGACTTCCTCCCCTTTGTCCTGTGTTCCTCCACAAATGAAATAAATGGGTTGGATTAAAATCACAGGCAGCAACAGATGAATGGGTAAACACATTGTTGTGTAGTTGTACAATGTAATATTACATAGTAATAAAAAGGAATGCACTGTTGATATGCTCATCAACATGGATGAATCTCTAAATAATTATTCAGGGTAAAAAATTTAAAAAGCAAGACAGCCTCCCCCCATTTACTATTCCATTTATATAAAATTCTACAAAATGCAAACTAATTTATGGTGACAAGCAGATCATTTGTTGCTTGGAAATGGGGGGACAGGTCATGGAGAGGGGTGGGAGGGAGAGATTACAAAGGGGCATGGGAAAATTTGGGGGCATAAAGCATGTGTTCATTGTCTTGATTGTGGTCATGGCTTCACAGGTATACATGTCAAAACTTATCAAATTGTACACACTTTATATGGACTTTATTGTATGTCAATGATACCTCAATAAAGCTGTAAAAACATATAATCATAAAGTGATCTTTAGGTGACTCCTAACTGACTTCCAACTCCATTTTCTTTTTCATGATTTCCTGTTTGATCTCTTTATAGAACTCGCTCAAAAAACATCACTAGCCCTAAGCAAATATCCTTTTGTTGTTAGAAGGCACCAATCCCGGTTTTTCCAACTGGAAATAAGAGGGGAGAGTTCTAAATAACCCTCTTAATAATGAAGGATATAGCTCACTCCTCTTCCCCCAAGCTCACCAAAATCTTGCTGGGATCAAATGTCCTAAAATACAACCTCTATTCTCTGTTTAGGGCATAAAGTCAAGAAGAAAAAGCAAATCCTGTGCTATAAATAAGCTGGAGCCAAACACTTTCAGAATCACCTGGTTCCTTTAGGGCTAACCCAGTTATTTTTTATTTATTTTATTTTATTTTATTTTATTTGTACGTGCTCCTAGCGGGAACTGAACCCAGGACCCTCTGGTCCACAGGCCGACACTCCAACCGCTGAGCCAAACCGGCCATGGCAGGGCTAATGCAGTTATTAATAAAAAGGGCTCTTATTGTGAAAGAAGGGCTCACCTCTCTTTAGAGTAGCTCTCTCACCAATTAGCTTGTTGGAGGACTAAACAAGCAGCATCCAGAGATGGGGAGATGTGGACAGCTGTGGTGGGAGTATTTTATTTACCTTGATTCAACCTGCAACTACAAAATGAACTGGCCCAGTTTAAAGTTTCGCAGTTTCTGACCACTGGTCTACATTCCTAAAAGGTTACATGTGAAATAAATGCCATAAGTGTGTGTGTGTGTGTGTGTGTGTGTGTGTGTGTGTGTGTGTTTTAGGTTGAACCATTCTTTTCTTTTCTTAATTGTTGAAAATATTGATTTTGAAAAGATCTTTAGTCGAAAAAACAGCAGAAACAAAAAAGAGAAATATCACATTTTATAAAAGCAGTAGAATGACATGCTGAGTTTAGTTTCACAAGAAGGGCCACAACAATTTGTATGGGTGGCCAGCAATGGATGATGAATCATTATTTTCTAATTCATTTACTATAATGAAGAAATAGACTTGGGTCATATGAATTCTGCCTTTGCAATCTACAAGCTTTGTGATCTTGGGCAATCTTTGACTTCTCTACGCTTCAACTTTTTCCTCTAAGATGGAGTTGAACTCAAAGGGCTAACCTGAAGATTATACCAGATGAGAAGAGCCTGATCCATAGACGGAAGACAGCACTCAACACTTTATGAAATCTGTAATATAAATATCTATTGAGGTATAATTTCACTTGGTCATTACTCAATACCACATAACTTTGAATTTACCTTCTGTTACATTAATAATCTGAATCCACAAACAGGTAAGAACACATTAAGGGAATTTGTTATTTAAAACAGCAATAGCGCCCTGGCCAGTTTGGCTCAGCGGTTAGAGCGTCGGCCTGTGGTCTGGAGAGACCCGGGTTCGGTTCCCGCTAAGGGCACGTACTTCGGTTACAGTTTGTCCCCGGCCCTGTTTGGTCGTGCGGGTGGCAGCCACTCGATGTGTCCCTTCACGTCGATGTTTCTCTCTCTCTCTCCCTTCCTCTCTCTCCCTCCCACTCTATCTGTACAAAAATGGAAAAATATCCTCGGGTGAGGATAAAAAAAAAAAAAAAAACAGCAATAGCTGCCCGGCTGGTGTGGCTCAGAGGTTGAACATGGACCCATGCACCAAGAGGTCGCCAGTTTGATTCCCAGTCAGGGCACATGCCCAGGTTGTGGGCCAAATCCCCAGTGGGAGACATGCAGGAGGCGGCCAATAGATGTTCTCTCTCATCTATGTTTCCATCTCTCTCTCCCTCTCCTTTCCTCTCTCTCTAAAATCAATAAAGAAAAAAAATTTTTTTTAAATAATAAAACAGCGACAGCTGCCCTGGCCAGTTTGGCTCAGCATCAGCCCTTGGACTAGGGTCCCGGGTTCAATTCCCAGTCAAAGGCACGTACCTGGGTTGGAGGTTCAATCCCCAGCCCTGGTAGGGGTCCTGTGGGAGGCAACCAATCGATGTCTCTCTCTCACATCAATGTTTCTCTCCTTCTCTTTCTCCCTCCCTTCCACTCTATCTAAAAACCAATGGGAAAATATCCTCAGGTGAGGATTAACAAAAAATAAAATAAAATAAAACAGCAACAGGTAATACAAGGAACCCTTAAAATGTGCCAAACATTGTATGTGCTTTTCTTGATTAGTCATTTAATCCTAACAACAGGTTCATACTATTATTACCCTCATTTTACATATGAAGAAACTGAGGCACAAATAGATTAAGTGATTTTTCCCAAGATCACACAGCTAATAAGAAGCTGGGGAGGGGGAAGATTTAAATACAGGCAGACTGTGGAATATCTGTGCTTAGCCACTATACTGCAAGGTTTTTTAAATGGATTTTTAAACACTTCTGTTAAATAAATCATGAGAGACTTACCTGCCTGATAACTTTGGATACTGAGTCATAACAATCACAGGTCTCTTAAGAAAGGGATTTTCAGAAATGATCTACTAAAGTCCACCCCTGCCTCTAGGCAGGGTCATAACTAAACAACTCAAGCCCTGTAAAAAACCTCCTGAGAACAAAATTCCACTTCTGCTCATAGTTCATTACCAAGTTTAATAGTCGGGAAATTCTTAAATTACAGCTAATTTAAATCCTTTATGCTTCAGGTTAAGCCCCATTCCTTGAGCCTGATAAACCCCAATATTTCCATTTCTTTTATTCATTCATTCAACTATAAAATAAACATTTATTAAATATGCAGGCTTAGTTATATCACTGAAAAAGTTCTGATAGGATCAATCAGGAGATTGGCCAACTGGGGGGTTGGAGGGATTTGTAGGGACAAGGTGGGAAGAGGAGAGGCCCTCATTTATGGAGGAGGTAGGCACAGAGCTCCCAGGCAGCACCATGCTGCCCACTTGGGTGGGCTTAACCATATAATGCTGAAACTTCCCAAAACAAACTCACCCAGAACAAAACCAGGATGATCCCAAGCAAATTTCAAACAGCCGTGCCTGGGAAAACTGCATTTTCCTTTTTCCTGGATATCTAACACCATCAACTTGCCATTAGCCCTGTGTAGAAGCTTTTCATTTACTGAAGGTTATAATTAAGTGGACTCTCTTTCTTCTGCAAACAAAATAACTTCAGTGGCTGAATTAGAATTGCCCCAATGGGATGCTGCTGAACAGTGAAGGCTGTGGACACACTGAGGCCCTGAGAGTAGGAGACACAAAGCCTGGATCCTGGTGCTGGTTATGTGTTTAGTCTGTATTTACTAAGCACCTAAACACCCAGCCTGCCGAAGGGAAGAGCAGTCCCTGCCCTCAGAGAACTTGCAGTCTAGCCTGGGAGACAAGGAGGTGCATGAGCCCCTCTGATCTGCGGCAGGAGCTACAAAGGCAGTTAATTTCGCTCCTGGTGTTAAGGAGGTGCCAAGGAGGCCTTCATCCACTGTTACCCTTGCACCTCACTGAATTTAGACTTTGAACAGTAAAATCGGAATTATTCCTCTTTAATCTACTTTATGATGCTGTGGGGACCTCAAAGGCCAAAGCTCCTACAAAAGCATAAAGGACAGTTGAAAGTAGGGACTGTTGATTAGCGACGTAATGGTGCTAATCTGCACATTTAGAATATGTTTCTTCGAGCGGTGCTGCAGAAAAGGGACGAGCAGAGCTAAAAACTGTTGCAAACCACTGGTACCTACTCCAGAGCGCGGGGTTGGAGGGGGAGGGGTGGCGACAGCCTTGACCTAATGTGGAGAAGAATCCCGAGCAATCTCCAACGCCAAAAGTCGGGAAATGACACGATCCGCACCACTCGAGGCCCCCTGGAGTCACTCCCCACGCTCCCCGCACCACCTCCACCTCTGAAATCCTAGACCAAGATCCTCGACTGCCCGGACCTTGTCGCGGGCGCTCCCTGGCGGCCATCCGCAGACAGTGACGGTTCGGGGCGCGGGGCGGGGCTAACCAAGTAAGGAAATAAGGGGGTGTGGTCTTCTCGCGTGAACAAATAGCGTCATCGAAGCGACGGGCCCGGAAGGAAGTGGTCGGCTGAGGGGTGTGGCGGTTTCTGCGGTTGCAAGGGGTTTCGGACGAGTACGGAGCGCCTGGAGGGACAGCCTGGTACGCGGCCCCCGCCCCGTAGTGCGTGCGCTGGGCCCAACTGCTGCTCCCGGCCGCCCCGGAGCAGCGCTTCTCCCCGGCCCACGCCAGCAGCCCTTCTCCCTCATGAGCGAGAAACCCTCTCTCTCCCGAATCTCTTTCTCTCGCTAGCTCCCAAGCGGGACCGAGCAGAGGGTCTTGGAGCCCCAGCCTCTGCCCAGGGCTCTTGGGATGCACGACATTGTCTCGGAAGGGGCGCGCGGTGGGGCGGGAATGACCTCGGAAGAGAAGGGCATCCGCAGAAAGGATGCAGCTGCAGATCCGTAGCTGGCGGCCGCCACGGTAAAATAAGCGCCTCGCAGATGTCTGCGCCCGACTTCTCTTAGACCCACGAGGCAGCACCCACGCCCTGCGCGCGTTGGCCCAGGCACGCCTGGCTCTGAACTTTGGAGTCAGTTACCCTAGTCCTTCCAGACCACTCTGTTCAGAAAATGAGTCTCTAGATGCCTATTCTTTCGAATCCTGGTGCCCGAACACTGTTGGACCTAGGAGTCCAGAGTCTCCCCAGCCTGGGGAACCCCCTTTCTCTAACCATGGGCTTGGGGACCTGTGAAGTGCAAAGTACCAGTCATGTATATGGGAGGAAATACGGCTTCGGTCTTGTCTGGAGCCCTCTCCCATTTAGGGCCAAAGGAGTAACTGGAAAGGTGGACGGAAGGCCAGAGAATCCCACCTTGGAACTGTTTGCATGCTGTCTCTGTCGGTCCAGCGTCTGAAAGGAGTAAAGAATGGTTTCCTTTGAAGTGGCAGGCAATTAGGACGGGAGACTCTGACCAGAATTACATGCCACAACTGCCTGTCATTTGACTTCCTCTGTAATTTGGGCCAACATACTGCAGCTGCCTCCTTCCCTTTTACTAGTATGAGTGTCTCCAGTGACAGCACATTCGTGTTCACAGGAAGAGAACGCTGCCCAGTTGGCACTGGTTCTCCCTTGGGCTACGGCTGTATGTGGAACCACTGCCTCTTCACTTGGTGGAGAATAGAATACCACAGTTAAGGAATGGGAATGTTACTGAGAGCAAGGATGGAGAGGGTTGTAGATCTAGCCTCGTGTTCATACTACAGCAGGCTGGATGGGAGCCAATTCCAGGGAGCTCAGCTTGGTGAGGTGCTCTCACTGTCATAGCTTGTCTCCTGCGTGGCAGACTGTACACACTTTCCCATATCTTTTCCCTAGGATAAAGGTTCGATGATGGCTCAGTTGGGAGCAGTTGTGGCTGTGGCTACCAGTTTCTTTTGTGCATCTCTCTTCTCAGCTGTTCACAAGATAGAAGAGGGACACATTGGGGTATATTACAGGTAAGGCAGAGAGCAGGGAGAAGCTTGCAACTTCCTGTTAAATGACTCTTTCCTAGTCCCTGTCTAGCAGATTCTGCTGAATATCTGTGTTTATATTTTGTTGAATATGAAAGTATTTTTGGCTGAGCTTTTGTGTTAGTGACCATGGGGAGGGGAATACATGTGTGTGTACATACACATAAATGTAAATATAAAGCTTAGTAGTCTACACTGATGGATGGTGATTGATAAATGTATGTAAAGATTTAGAGACAAAACCTAAAGGCAGCCAGAGATTATCTTGCAGATTATCTCTGAGATGTTCTCTCCTACATCTTGGTGCCACAATTTACCTCTGATGAGTACCAGTTCTTGATAGCAACTTGTCTGCTCTGCAAATAAGAACCTACTCTTTAAAATTAACATTTCAGGAAAAATGAAAGCGTCTGCAGGTAGCTTTATATCAATCAGGGAAAATTCTAGGATAATGGTTCTTACAGTAAAGGAGCTCATTATGTCACTGTTTATTTTATTGCTTTTTTTAAAAAAAAAAATGTATCTTTAACTTTATAATGCAAAGCAAAGACGCATTTCTAAGTCTTGGATTACTTTCCTTTTAGTCACCTCCATAACCAAGTTTTTGCTTGAAGTCTTTATGACCCCCTTCTTATTATGTACCCTATGATGCTTATTTCTGGATAGCCACTAGCAAGTTCTAAAAGTCTGGTTGGGTTTCCCACTCCCCTTTAATTATTTCTCCCTACCATCTACTTATGTGTCCCCAAAAAGCCTTTTAATTTTATCATCTACATACAACTTGATTAGAAAGGTAACTCTACTGCCAAAAAATATATTTAAATGATATGTAAAGTGTACTTAAAATTATTCTTTTGGTGTTGATGTCCCTGGAATCCAACATTAGTGCAGTTCATTGATAACTGTATTTCTGGATTTAAGTACTCAAATGGATTGCCACAAGTTCAACGGACACAACAAAGTAAAGCAGACTTCCTCTCAAATATAGCCAGGGATTCTGCTGTCTCTGTTCCATTTAGCCTGAGTGCCTATTTTTCTTGATGAGAAAGCATGAGTAATGGTTTTATGTTTTAGCATTAGGCTTCCTAGAGTATTAGGGTCTAGCGGGGAGGAAGGAAGGGATCTGTGGATGTGGCTCTGGCACTTGTCACTCTATAGTACACATTTATGGAGCTGAAGAGAAAGTTGGCCCAAAGAATATTAACGTAATAGGTACCTTTTGCTGAACTGAACCTGCCTCTCTCTTCTCCTCTGTAGAGGCGGTGCCCTGCTGACTTCCACCAGCGGCCCTGGTTTCCATCTCATGCTCCCTTTCATCACATCATATAAGTCTGTGCAGGTATACTTGGCTTGTGTTGTATGGCTGGACAACTGCAGATTTGGGGTGTTGACTAATGCATGATTTAGAATTATTTAGCCATTGGATGAGTATAATGCCTTTTCAAGGAATCATTTAAGAACAAGTTTTTATATATAAAGAATGAGACTCCATGGGCCATTAACTCTGGAGCTTTGCTTGATTGATGAAATGGTTGAATGGAGTCCTTGCCTTGGCCCATCAGTCCCAACTGGGAAGTATGTCTTCATTTCAAGACAAAGCCAGAGAAGAATCTGTTTTGAATGTATAGAAGGAAACGTAGAGTATGTGTGTCTGCATTTTAAATCACAGGCTACCAAGATAGATGGAAATAAAATATGGTAATTTTGCTAGTTCCTATTTGCTCTTTAGAGATGTGAACATAAGACTAGAGAAGTTGAACTTGGTGAAGGGAAATGACATCTAAAATAGGAGTAGGATTACTTATGACAGATCTAAAGCCTAGCTAAGTTAGAGCAGCCGTCTTTGAAGTATGTCCAATATCCTGGGATACCTCATCAGCATTTTCCTTGTAAGTTTCTTCTGCCATGTACTCTGCTTTATGGTTTTCAAAGTATGTTTATGCACATTATCTCATTTGGGTCTCTCAGTAATCCTGAGAATGGGCTGAGCAGGTCCTTTAGGCCGAAACAGGTTAGTAAAGAATCTATTTCAAGACTAGTAAATGGAAGCGGTAGAAGTAAACATGGATCTTAGGATTCCTAGTCCAGGGTCTTTTTCACTAAATCATTATTACCCAGCTCGTTCATATGGTGGTTCAGTTACGGTGGAATCTGGTTAAGTACCTTTGCTTGGTCATTCTCACACCCTGTAAGTCAGGAGGATTCAGAGGGGTATAGATGTTTAACAAAGACAAAGCTACCCAAATAAGTATTGAAGGACAAGGACATTTGGGATTCCAAAAATAAGTTACTTTGTCTGTCACTGCCCATCTTACAGCATTTGATGTCTCCTCTGTTTCCAGACCACACTGCAGACAGATGAGGTGAAGAACGTGCCTTGTGGGACTAGGTAAGGTGCCTGGAAGAAAGCTGTTAAGCCCAAAGAAGAGGAAGGGCTATCGGGCTGGCTGCAGTAAGAGATAGTGAAGAGGGAGGCACCCCTTGCTTTTGCCAAGTTCCCTATCCCCTAGCTGCTTCTATTGGTTCCACTAGGTGGTAGAGTGCAGGAGAGAAAAATCACAGAAGTTAGACAGGTGTGGGAGGGCTTTGAATGCCATAAGAAGTTCGGACTTTTCCTGTTAGAAGTGGGGATCCTCTAAAAGCTTTTAGCAGATAAATGACTTGATAGAGGAAAATAACTTGAGCATAACTAACTATAGAGAATGTCTTAATGATGGGGGAGGCCGTAAGGGCAGGAAATCCAAAGATGACACCACTATAGTGGTCTGGCTGAAAAGTAAAGAAGCTCTAAACTGGGACAGTAGCAAAGTAAACATTACCACAAGGAAACATTTGGACAGATCTAGAATTGGGACATCCCACAGGGTAACAGGTCTAATCTTGGCACAAAGTCCTATTTGGAGGGGAATTGAGTTGAAAAAGAGACTTAAAAGATAAACAAATGCAATGGTGACCCTTAAATAGAACCTGGTCCAAAAATAACATCTGTATTAGTTATCTTGGGCTGCTACAACAGTACCACAGACTGGATGGCTTAAACAACAGAAATTTATTTTCTCGCACTATGGAAGCTCACAGTCCAAGATCAAGGTGCCAGCAGGGTTGGTTTCCTCAGAAGCCTCTTCCTGGCTTGCAGACAGCTACCTTGCTGTGTCCTCACATGGCCTTTTCTCTGTACATGCAAGGAGAAAGAGATGTCTAGTGTCTTGTCTTTTCCTTTTTTACAAGTCAAATCAGTTAGGGTCCCTTCCTGTGACCTCGTTTAACTTCAGTTACCTCCTTAAGGGCCCTATCTCCAAATATAGTCACATTGGGGGTTAGAGTTTCAACACACGGATTTGAGAGACCACTTAATTCAGTCCATAATAGGAATCATTGGGGAAATTTGAATAACTGGGTATTAGATAATGTTAAGGAATCATTGCTGATTTTCTTAGGTTTGAGAATGGTTTTGTGACTATATAGGAGGATATCATTATTGTTAGATGATCCTAGCTAAAGTGTTAAGGGGTGAAGTATCATGACTGTAACTTATTTTGAAATGTTCAGAAAAAAAAAGTAGATCAGCTAATAGGAAATGTTAACAATTGTTAAGTTTCAGTGTTGGAAAATGGATTTTAGTTCTACAATTTCAGCTTTTCTATATGTTTGACATTTTTCTATAACAAGTACTTGAGGGAAGGGGAAGTGCAGAGCTACAGTGATGGTGAAGACAGTGAGAAACAGGGACCCTAAAATCCCATAGTGACCTTTCAGGTTCTGAGCACGCCTCAACCTTCTTTAGTCTTTGCCCTTCCGTTGTTTGTTTTAATCAAAAAATTTGTGGATTCAAAAGATATGAACTACCCTTTTCTTGATGGCATAGCAAAAGTTTCACTTTTTTCTATGTGAAATTATTTTTAGGAGGTGTGATTTCTCAGGAGATTTTATTGCTATAAGCTCTGAAGATCTCCTGCTTGTAGATCCGACATGCCTTCTAACTTCCCAAGAACTCTTCTTTTCTGCTAAGTCACAGTATTCCAGAGCTTACTCATGACTTCTTTGTCCATTCTTCCTCTATAGTGGTGGTGTGATGATCTACTTTGATAGAATTGAAGTGGTGAACTTCCTGGTCCCAAATGCAGGTACGATTTTCTAGTTGACCCTCACTACCAGCTTACTTTCCCCAACATGCCACCCCAGTGTCTCACAGCACCTCAGCATGGGAGAACTGCTATGTCTGAGCAAGTTTCTTTTTTTCCTTTTTATTGAATTTATTGGGGTGACACTGGTTAACAAAAGTTTGCAGGTTTCAGGTGCACAGTTCCACAACACATTATCTGTACTGTGTGTCCGTCACCATTTATCCCTGCTATGCTCTCCTCCACCTCTCCCCACCCCACCTCTCCTGTGAATCACCACACTGTTGTCCATTTCCATTCATTGTTTTTTTTTTCCCAATTCCCCCCCTACCCAGCCCACCCCCTTCCCAACAGCTGTCAGTCTGCTCTGTATATATGTCTGTCTCTATTTTGCTTGTTAGGTTTGAGCAAGTTTTGAGTCCTGCCTTTTGTTGAAATCTTTCCTTCCTTCCAGTGTATGATATAGTGAAGAACTACACTGCCGACTACGACAAGGCCCTCATCTTCAACAAGATCCACCACGAACTGAACCAGTTCTGCAGTGTACACACACTTCAGGAGGTTTACATTGAGCTCTTTGGTAAGAAAGTCTCTTCTGATTAGAGCCTGCTGTCTTAGCAGCCTCGCTTCCCCCACTGCCTATTTCTGCGCTACTTACAGTGTAGGATGGGCACTGCTGGACAGGAGGTGTTACAGGATCCAGTACTCAGAGCTGGTCACAAGGGGCATCCCTAGAAAATACTGGTGGCAATGGAAGATCATGAGAGTGGTTGAGCCTTGGACACAGAAGTCAGTAACGGTGGACTACAGGACTCACTCCTGGCCTGAATCAGAGGGCTGGAATGGAAATTATTTCCATGGTCCCTGAAACATCTTTCTGTAATGAAGACAGGCTCAGTTCTAAAAGAACCTTAGAAATTATCCAGCCCAACATCGTCATTTTAAGATAAGGGTACCAAGCCCCAAAGAACATCATAGACCTAATTGGTAGCAGCTGAAGCTAGAACCTCCCTCTTCTGGCCCTCAATCTGTATGCTTTCCCCCACATCACACTGAATGAAAGGCACCCTGGAAAGGGTGAGGAGAATGGGACAGTTCACCTTTAATTCTAGAAGTGGGACAAGGACCATAGCTACTTACAGTTCCTAGAACCTTTGTGAGGGATTTTTGTTTGTTTGTTTACCCCATACCTACAGAGATTAATAGGAAAAAGCTTAAAACAAAAAGGATCCACGTGCTTCAGTAGACATTTCTTGTCCTTTTCACCTGGTCAAAGTAAACATAGCCTGACTTCAGCAACAAGGGAAGGAAACATTTCAGTAAATGTTATAACTCTTTGTTGGTAAAATGTTCTGTTTGATCTTGCTGCTAGAAGCTTTCTAGTAGCCAGTGTAAAAGTAAATGGATTTTTCAACCCATAGTACAACTATTTGTTCTTGATCTAGGATGTGGACAGTGTTTTTCCCAGGAATCTTCATAAAAAGGACCCTGAGTGAGAATATGTTTTAGAATAGCAGAAAAAGGAATTGTTGACGTTGCCAATGACCTTAATTAAGCAAACAGCCTTTTGCACTGTTTCAGATTTGGGAAATCATCAGAATCACTTTTAATTTTCTGAACTGGAAAATAAATCTAAATTCACTCAATAGGGTTTAGAGTCTTTATTTTATTTTATTTATTTTATTTATTTTTTTTTTGAGGGAGAGTGAGAGAGAGAAACATCAATGAGAGAGAACATCAATTGGCCACATCCTGCATGTCCCCCACTGGGGGTTTGGCCTACAGCCTGGGTATGTGTCCTGACCGGAAGTCAAACTAGCGACCTCTTGGTGCATGGGTCAGCCCTCAACTACTGAGCCACACTAGCCAGGCAGGGTTTAGAGTCTTTTATTGGGTTTGGATTCAGTATGCTTTTAGGAAAAATTTGGTAAATTTGCTGTTTTTTACCCTCAGACTGATAGAATTTTATAAAATATCATTCGTTTTCTCTCTAGCCATTTTTAACAAATTTGTGCCATTTAAGTGAACATTTCAAAGCATTTGAAACAACAAAAGACAAAGAATCTCTAATTTCCATTAAGAGGAAATTAAAATATGAAATTATTTTGCATTAAGAAAACTTACTGTCCAGCCAGTGTGGCTCAGTGGTTGAGCATCAACCCATGCACCAAGAGGTCGCCAGTTCAATTCCCCGTCAGGACACGTGCCCAGGAGGCAGCCAGTCAATGTTCTTTCTCATCGAGAGTTTCTAGCTCTCTCTCTCTCCCTCTCACTTCCTCTCTCTCTAAAATCAATAAAGGGAAAAAAAAAATTTTTTTTAAGTAAATGTTTAAAAGAGAAGACTTACTGTTTTAGAGACCAACTTGGCAGCATAGTAAAGTATAGCTTCTTGCACAAAGGAGCTGGGAAAATGCATTTGCTTTGAATTTTTTTTTTTTCTTATTAAAGTTCAGTCTTGTTGTAAAGGAGAAACTAGAATCTCTAATCCTGTTCCTTAACCATCAAAGGTATTTTTCTAGTTCCTTCCTCTCAGGACTCCTAGCCCTGACTTTCAAAATGACTGCATAATTCTCCTCACTGCTTACTCTGATGCACCCTCTTTGCCCATTCTAGACAAATATTATCTAGAACTTGTTCAGAAGATTACCTGAAGAACCTCTTTATTCATACGTAATAATATAACTTAGCCAGCATTTATCAGCATAACTGTAACATAAACAACTTATTACCAGTATTAGTTTGGAAATAAACCACCTTTCAAAATATTTCTTCCAGATTTTCCTGAAAGTTACCAGCCCAGGGCTACAGGTTTTATCTTGACTCAGATATAATTTGGTCTGGTAAATGACGGTGTCATTATTAACAGGCGATCTCACTTAAAGTTTGGTGGGTATCCTATTTAAAATAGAAAATATGAAATGTAATGTTTATCTCTAGCTGTCAGATTGTTAGGCCAGTGTCAGTGCACTGTACTCCCTCTATGGGCATTTCTCCCTCAGTGCTCGGAAGCTGGGAGAGCATGTCCAGTACATGGGAACATTGAAACCCTTTGCTCATTGGTATGACAGTTGAAAAAAGTACTATTTTAAACCCTAATAATCAAAACATAGTAATTAAATAAGTTCATTATTTTGGCTAGTAACTGGCTTGAGCACATCTCGCCCTCCATGGACCTCAGTTTGGGCATCTGTAAAAGGCAGGAGTTAGATTTGCTATTTCTCAGAGGCTCCTGTTTGGGCACAAGTGACCAAGAAGGGCCACTTAAAGCAGATGGCAGCTGACAATAAAGAAGGTGATTGCGTTTAGATGTCCCAGCCTGGTTACATGGAGTCTTTTCCTTGGTGCCTTTCCAGGATCTTACTGGGGATCTGAGGCCAGAGAAGGCAGCCTGGTGCTGCTGTCCTGGGATCACAGCTAGCAGGGGATCAGTTACAGCTCTTCCTACGCTTGTCTGTGAAACGACCCCCATGTGAATTCCAGGCAGAGGAATCAGGACCACAGCAAGCAGCGCATCAAAAGACTTGGGCTTGTTTCCAGAACTGTAAATTTTTATTTCCCCCCTGTGTCATTTAATGGAGTTCCTAATGGAAATAGTCTTCCTTGGGGCTTCCTTGACGTCAGAATCTGTTTTTCTTTTTTAAAAACATCTAAAATTACTAGATTTAATGTGCTCGGCTCTTTTCCAGATACCTAACATAGCCATTCCATCTTCTTCCTTCATGAAAACTGGGTGCCTGCCTTCTGTTTTGCTCCTGTTGCCTGGGGAAAGGCTGCTGCCTGGCTCAAGAAATGTGCTAGAATTGTTGTTTGTCCTTTTTCTTTTTATAGCCCAGTTCCCTTTTGGGCAACATTGATATTTTCAGCAACCTAGGGATTCTATCTTGAGGCCACAGGAAAAGGATCTTCTCACATCTGGCCTGTGTGGAGGGACTGCAGAGAACACGTTGCTCCAAAAGTCTTGCTGGGGAACTTTAGATTTCTGGGCTATGATAAGCACTTTACCTTGGGAAGACCTTTTGCTTGTGAGGTACATTCTTTTTTGTTGTTGTTGTTTATTTGTTTATTTTTGTTAATCCTCACTGGAGGATATTTTTCCTTTGATTTTTTTAAAGAGAGTGGAAGGGAGGGAGGGAGAGAGAGAAAGAGAAAAATTGATGTAAGAGACACATCACTTGGTTGCCTCCTACATGCAGGATCGAACCTGCAACCCAGGTACGTGCCCTTGACTGCAAATTGAATCCACAACCCTTTGGTGTGAGGGTTGTCGCTCTAACCACCAAGCAACACCGCCCAGGATATAAGGTGCATTCCTGAGCTGGTGTTTTAAGCTTTAACTCTACCTTCATACTTTCCACCACCCTGCCTAGATAGTGTGACAACTCCTTTTCCTATCTTTCTTGATTCCAGATCAGATTGATGAAAATCTCAAATTGGCTTTGCAACAGGACCTGACTTCCATGGCCCCTGGGCTTGTCATCCAAGTAAGTGTTGCCACTGTGGGAGCATCCCCTGATGAAGGTGCATCCCCTCTTTTAAGGGATGTCCTTTCTGTGCAGGAAGATCAGGGACCTAAGGGAGCTGCTTTAGGTCCCTCACCACCCTCACCTTCCCCTCAGGTGCTATTTTTATCCTTCTTCAGGCTGTGCGGGTGACAAAGCCCAATATACCTGAGGCAATCCGCAGAAACTACGAGTTGATGTGAGTATCCTCTGCCTAAGCTGTAACCACCACTCTCTCCCACCTCATCCCATCCCTGGATTAACTGAAGCTGTGCCAGACTTTATTCCCCTCCTTGAGCATTTGTCACAGCCCATTGCACTGTAGGATGGAGCAGGCATGTCAGGACAATCACCTGGGCTCTGTAACTGTGATGAGAGCCACAGAGAAGCCCTTTTGAGTAGTGATGCTTTTAAAGGGGCCAGAGGGCCCTGTTTGTGCTTCATGGTTCATGCCAAAGAAGATAGGGAAAGACGATTAAGTGGAGAGGCAGGTGCGTTTTACTAAAGTAAACTAAGCTATTTCCCACAAATGATTTATTTTGGAGGAGGAGCAGAACCATGTTAGTGTCTGCAACAAATCTGCTTTTACCTGGGACACTGAACAACCTACTAGGAGAGAGGAAGAAATCAGAGTTTGCCTCTCCTCAGCAGAGTCGGGCCTCTCCAGGGGATAGTGAAGCTCCTCAGAAGCTTTTCCAGTGCCTGACAACTGCATACCTGTTTTCCCCTTCAGGGAGAGCGAGAAGACAAAGCTGCTCATTGCAGCCCAGAAACAGAAGGTTGTGGAAAAAGAAGCCGAGACAGAGCGGAAGAAAGCCCTCATTGGTCTGGATGTGGTTCTGTGACCCCCTTTCAGGGCAGAAGGGCTGGGGATGGTCGGAAGAATCGAGGAAGCCTCAGGCATGGGTGGACCACACGGTTCTCCAAACCCCTGCCACACATAGGAGTGGCTTTCTTACTCCCAGAAGCGAAGCTGAAATTGTCAGATCGTGGCCAGGGGTGATAAGTTTTGAGTGTTGACATATCTCTTTTTTTTTCCTTCACCTGAAGATATGCTTTTTATTGATTTGGGAGAGGAAGGGAGAGAGAGAGAGACACCAATGTGAGAGGGAAATATTGATCCGTTGCCTCCATTAGGCACCCAGACCAGGTATTGAACCCGCAACCTGGGTACGTGCCCTGACCAGAATCAAACCCACAACCTTTTGGTGTATGAGAAAACACCCAACCAACTGAGCCACACTGGCCAGGGCTCACATACCTCTTAAACAGAAGGAGCCCTTACTGTTAGTTCCTAATTCAGAATGATCATGGCTAACACTTACTAAGCACTTACCATGTACTTACATGTAAATTCCGTCACTCAGAACCAGCAGGTAAGGGAGGCACTATCGTTAACCTCACTTTCTGAGCTAAAGCACAGAGAGGTTAAAAAATGTGCCCAAGAGCCCTGGCCAGTTTGGCTCAGCGGTTAGAACGTCAGCCTGTGGTCCAGAGAGACCCGGGTTCGGTTCCCGCTAAGGGTGCGTGCCTCAGTTGCGGTTTGTCCCCTGCCCTGATTGTTTGTGCGGGTGGCAACCACTCGATGTGTCCCTTTCACGTCGATGTTTCTCTCTGTCTGTCTCTTCCTCTCTCTCCCTCCCACTCTATCTGAACAAAAAATGGAAAAATATCCTCAGGTGAGGATAAAAAAATATGTTCTCAAGGTCATGTGGCAAGTTAAGTGGTGGAACTGGGGTTCAGATCCAGGGACTCTGCTCCAGAACCTGGGTCCTTAGCCACTACACTGGACTATCAGCAACAAACCTGACTACTTCCTCAAGTAAAGTCGCAGGAAGAAACTTTTCAAAGAGTACCTTATTCCTTAAAATATTCCTTTGGGAGGAATACCCTTGTGATTTAAAAGAGAGGTTAGGGTTTGTTCCTTGCTTTCATCAGAGTAATGAGTCTCCTCCCTTGGGCCCACATCTCCCCAGTTACTGATTTGCGCTGGTGTCGTGGTTTGTGCGCACTGGTACCTCCATCTCTGCCCATGTATCCCTGTAACGGCTGTCCTCTGGGGCCAGTGTCTCTCTGTCTGAGCTTACCCACACTCCTACATCAGGGCTTCTGATCAGGTAAAAGATGAAATTGAGTCAAACTCTTGAAATATCAGCTCTAAGTCTTTTCTCAACTTCATTAACACAGAGGCAGAAAAAGTGGCTCAGGTTGCAGAAATCACCTATGGACAGAAGGTGATGGAGAAGGAGACTGAGAAGAAGATATCAGAAATTGAAGGTAAGCTGAAGTGAAATTAATGCCTGAATTTTCCTCAGACCCCACTATGTGGCAAGGGAGTGGGGGAATCACCTCCTTTGCTCTTTAACCTCAGTTCTTTTTTTTTTTTCCTTACGCGAGGACATTTTTCCATTTTTTGTTCAGATAGAGTGGGAGGGAGGGAGAGGAAGAGAGAGAGAGAGAGAGAGAGAGAGAGAAACATCGACATGAAAGGGACACATCGAGTGGCTGCCACCCGCACGACCAACCAGGGCCGGGGACAAACTGCAACCAGGTACGTGCCCTTAGCGGGAACCGAACCCGGGTCTCCCCGGACCGCAGGCTGGCGCTCTAACCGCTGAGCCAAACTGGCCAGTGCTAACCTCAGTTCTAAGATCTCTTGATTTCTTTGGAACATCACTTTTTCTCTGTGCTTTCAATTTGGGGAGATTTGGCATTAATTTTCCATTTCAGAGAGTGTTCATTCTTTCAACAAATGTTAGTTACATGCCATTAGGTACTCTCATGTTAGGCATAAGAAAAAGAGAAATCACGTAGTCACTGCTATCGGGAAGCTCAGTCTGGCGTTGGACGTAAACTAAGAAGCTAGGCCAAAACAGCAGCTTTCTTCCTTGTGCCTTCCATACCCTTCCTCAGAAGTCAGTGGGCACTGTAGCTCTGACCTTTGGGTCTGCTCTCAGGGTCCCTGTAGATATTAAGCTGGGTGTGAAGACCTTTTCAGCACCAACAACACTGGAGTTGGAGAGAAGTGTTCCTTTTGACTTTATTGTTTTCTTTTTAAACTTATCTTTATTGTTGAATATATTACAGATGTCCTCCTCTTTTTCCTCCATTGACCCCCCCCCCCCACTGCCACCTCCCTCCTGCCTTCCCCACACTATTGTCTGTGTCTGTTGGTTATGCATATATGCATATAAGTTCTTTGGTTTATCTCTTCCCGCCTTCCCTCCCCCTTCCCTTTGAGGTTCATCAGTCTAACAACCAATTTGTACTTCTTAATTCCTTTACCTTTTTCACCCACCTCCCCAGTCCCCTCCCAATAGGTAACCAACAAAAATTTCGCTGTATCTATGAATTTGTTTCTGTTCTGCTTGTTCATTTTGTTTGTAGATTCAGTTGTTGATAGATATGTATTTATTGCCATTTTATTGTTCAAATTTTTGTTTTTCTTCAAGAAGACCCGTCAACATTTCATATAATACTGGTTTGGAGGTGATGAACTCCTTTAAATTTTTCTTGTCTGGGAAACTCTTTATATGGCCAATGATTCTAAATGATAGCTTTACAGCAGTGGTTCTCAACCTTCCTAAAGCCGCGACCCTTTAATACAGTTCCTCATGTTGTATGTGGGTGTATCTGCATGTGGGTGGACCTACCTGGAGACAGACAGGGGAGCAGTGTCTCAGTGTCTCAGTTCCTTTTTTTTTTTATCTTTACCCGAGGACATTTTTGCATTTATCTTCAGACAAAACAGGAAGGAGGAAGAAAAAGAATCATTGATGCGAGAGAGACACATTGAGTGGTTGCCACCCATGCAACCCCAACTGGGGCCAGAGACAAACTGCAACCGAGGTACATGCCCTTAGCAGGAACCTAACCCGGGACTCTCTGGTCCACGGACTGGCGCTCTAACCACTGAGAAAAACCAATGGTCTTAGGCGACCCCTGTGAAAGGGTCATTTGACCTCCAAAGGGGTCGCAACCCACAGGTTGAGAACCGCTGCTTTACAGGGTAGAATAATTTTGGTTGTAGGTTATTGCTTTTCATCACTGAATATCTCTTGCCACTCCTTTCTGGCCTGCAGTTTCTTTTGAGAAATCAGCTCACAGTCTTATGGGAGCTCCCTTGTGGGTAACAAACTTCTTTTCCCTTGCTGCTTTTAAGATTCTCTTTTTGTCTTTAACCTTCTGCATTTTGATGATGATGTGTCTTGGTGTGGATCTCTTTGGGTTCATCTTATTTGGGACTCTCTGTGCTTCCTGGACTTGTATGTCTGTTTCCTTCACCAAGTTAGGGACGCTTTCTGTCATTATTTTTTCAAGTAGGTTTTCAATTTCTTGCTCTCTCTCGTCTCCTTCTGGTACCCCACGATGCAAATGTTGGTACACGTGAAGTTATCCCAGAGACTCCATACAGTATCCTCATTTTTTAAAATTCTTTGTTCTGATTGGGTGTTTTTTGCTTCCTTATATTCCAAATTAATGACTTGCTTCTTAATTTCATCTACTCCAGTATTGATTCCTTGTAAATTATTCTTTTTTTCAGTTAGTGCATCCTTCATTTCTGACTGGTCCATTTTGTGCTTTTTTTTAAATTTTTTTTTCCCGTTATTGATTTTAGAGAGAGAAGAAGTAAGAGGGAGAGAGAGATAGAAACATCTATGAGAGAGGACGCCTCCTGCATGCCCCCCACTGGGGATCGGGCCCACAACCTGGGCATATGTCCTAACCAGGAATCAAACCAACGACCTCTTAGCGCATGGGGCGATGCTCAACCACTGAGCCACACTGGCCAGACCCTTTTAATGCTCTTGATGTTCTCACTACATTCCTTGAAGTTCTCACTAGGTTCATTGAGCATCCTTACAACCAGTGTTTTGAACTCTGCATCTGTTAGATTGCTTATCTCTGTTTCATTTAGTTATTTTCCTGGAGTTTTATTCTGTTCTTTAATTTGGGACATGTTTCTTTGTCTCCTTACTTTGGCTGCCTTTTTTTGTTTGTTTCTATGTATTAGGTAGAGTTGCTATGTCTCCTAGGCTTCCTAGGATGGCCTATTGTAGTAGGTGTCCTGTAGGGTCCAGTGGCACAGCCTCCCTGATTACCCCAGCAGGGCCCTCGAGGTGCACCTCTCATGTGGACTGTCCACTCCTCTGTTGTAATTGAGTCTTGATTGCTGTTGGCACATCAGTGGGAGGGATTTACTCAGGCTGATCAGCTGCAAGGACTGGCTGTGCCCACTGACCACTGACTACTTTGGAGGATCAGCTATGCAGGGGCCCCCCACACAGAGCAAGAGTTACTTCAGCAGGGCTCTGGTACCCACTGAGTCTGCTCATTGAGTGTGTCACTTATGGAGGTGGTTGGATGGTGGTGCTTCAACATGGTCTGAGGCTGTCCACTGGGTGTGCTGGCTCTGGGGCAAGGTCAGCCTCTGCCTGTGTTCTTCCCCGGGACCACCAGGCATAAGCTACAAAGCAATCTACAGATGGCTGCTTCTTGTGCTGGGCTTAGAGGTGCCCAGGAAAAGCCAAGCTGTGAACCAAGGCTGGCTTCTTCTAGTGCCAGACTTGAGGCCAGTTAGCTACAGGTATGGGGCTCGCTAAGGCCAGATGCTGTTTGTTTGAGAGAATTTAGGAAAATCTGAAGCAAGAGCCAAGACAGACCAATGCTATGGTAAAGCCACTGGAAACAGCTTGGGTGGGCCTGAAAGTTGGGTAGGGCAGGGCCTCAGGGAATCACCAGGGCGGGGCTACCAGTGAGCCAGGTGGCTGGAGTCCCAGATACGGCGGCCATCTGCCTGCCCCGTTGGGGAAGGGCTCACCAAAGTAACAACGACCTCCACCAGCACGTCTGTCCGGTAGAAAGCTTCCCCTCCAGCTCACATCCCAATGCCAAACAACTCAGTTCTTTACTGTATGTCTCTGGTGCCTTTCAAGCTGCCTCCCCCACACTGGAGCCTGGAGGGAGTGGGTCCAAGGAAGTCTGTGCGTGGGACCTGTAAGAGAAACTACCTGGGACTTCAGCAGCTTCAGCCTCCCTTAGCCTTGGTTCCAGCTGGTTTTACAGCCAGAAGTTATGGGGACTTCTGGCACTGGAACCTTGAGCTGGGGTGCCTGATGTAGGATGGGGACTCCTTGTTCCTCAGGGAGGACCTTTCCAGCCGAGGTGTCCTCCTGATTTTTATCCTCCACACATGGGTGTGGGTCCAGCCCATCCACGCCTCCACCTCTCCTGCCAGTCTCAATGTGGCTGCTTTAATTTCATAGTTGTAGGACGTCAATTCAGCTTGATTTCAGCTGGTTTTGAATGATGGTTATTCTGTAATTTAGTTGTAATTTTGATGTGGTTGTGGGAGGAGGCGATACCGCATTTACCTGAGCCTCTGTCTTGACCAGAAGTCCCTTTTGACTTTTATAAGTATCAGTCACCTTCAGTTCCCTGCCCCTCAGTCCTCACCTCATTCCCACCACCTGCATGTGGTATATAAGTATCAGGCCAGATACTTTTTCCTGCATGTGGTATATAAGTATCAGGCAAATGCTAGGACAGAAAGGGGATCTGAAGGCCCAATTTTAGGCTACAAAGTGCTATGTCCAGTTATATTAATGGTGCCTGCCTGGCTTTGCAAGGGGCCTCTTGGGGAGTCAATTAGGATTTTACAGATCAGCAGCTAGCTCCTCATTAAGGAGCTCTTAGTAAAACAACACAGTTTTATTTCTCATAAATACGTGTCATCGGGTGCTAAGGCCAGTTGAGTCAGCCGCATGCAGTCAGAACTGCAGCCAGACTGCAGGCGCCTTCTCCCAGGGTCACGCTGAGGGTGCAGTCAGAACCCACCCCCAGACTCTGCTACAGATATTACTCACATGGGACTGGCCTCACTCCCAAGGCAAGGAGTAAATATCAAAAAGTTTGCATCACCTTGACAGAAAGCTAGTTTCAGCAGATTGGGAAAGGGTATTGGTTGCATAGTAGAGTTTAAACAGGTCTTAATCCAAACAGCTAGTCTGGGCGATTGCTTAAAATTCTCTCAGAGTTGTGCCAGCTTAACCACTGTTAATTAGAACCTTTTTGAAATTATTGATGGAAAGAAAAGGGAAATGAAGTTGGAGAAGAACTGAACTATTTTATGCTTATGGTGTTCGGTGTTAGGGTGGTCCACTTCTGGCTGTATTCAGAGCCTTCTTTGGGCATCTCTTGCTTTTACTGTGTGGCACAAGAGGGCTGAGGTGGAAAGCGCTGAAACTGGAGGCTGAGGCAGGGCCTCTCCCCAGACACAGCTACAAAAGGAGTGCAGAAACAGGAGGTGTCTCTGGGTGGCGGTGCTTTTCTCACTAATACTATCCAATACGATTGTGGACGCAGCAACGGACTTGCTCATGACTAGTCCCCGCCACAGGGAGGTGCAGTCAAAGCACAGGGGAAAAAGCAATCTCCCCAAGGTCACAGAGGCACCAGGGAAAGTTGCAGGGACCAGACGCAGGCTTCTGGTAGCCTCTGCACTCCAGTTCACCGCATTCTTCCCCTCAGACGCTGCGTTTCTGGCCCGGGAGAAGGCAAAGGCTGATGCTGAGTGCTACACTGCTATGAAAATGGCTGAAGCAAATAAGGTAAACGCCCAGTACCGCCTGGCAAAGAGAACGTGTATTTGGCCCAACTTTGGACTGATACTGTTTGAGAGTTCCTTGGTGTTGGAAGACCTCCACCACCCAAACCCCCTTGTGGGCAGAAGTGATGATTCCTGTGCTGTGTGGCACAAGTACTTCCCTTTCTCGCAGCAGTGCCTTGATGGAAGTGTAATGTTTGTGTGAAACATGGAAACTCCTAAAATTCTTGCAGCTCTAGCCTTGAGGATCTGAGATTACTCTCCCTGAGAGAAGTGGTTACCCTGTTACTAATGTAACGGTGAGGCCAGGAGAAATAGGGAGGACATATGTCTTTGACAGAGACCCTCTCCTTAGGCAAATGAAGGGTGCCACATAGCTCTACCTAAAGTCTTCTTTACTTTTCACTTGTTTACAGCTAAAGCTGACCCCAGAATATCTGCAGCTGATGAAGTACAAGGCCATCGCTTCCAACAGCAAGATTTACTTTGGCAAAGACATCCCTAACATGTTCGTGGACTCGGCAGGCAGTTTGGGCAAGCAGTTTGAGGGGCTAGCTGACAAGCTGAGTTTTGGCTTAGAAGATGAACCCTTGGTGGCAGACACCGAGGAGAACTGAAACAAGAGTTTTATACAGCAGATAATACTTCAAGAGATCTTTATTTTTCAATGATGAACAAAGATGCCCCTCCCTCTCGCACTACCTTCTTTGACTTGTCTTCCACATTCTGTGGTGAAAAAAGAAGAGATTGACTTAAATCTATTTCCCTGGGAAGGGAGGGCAGGGATTGATAATTTTGGGGTTTTATTCAGGGAAGTAGGTTATATGGCTTCTGTTAAGATTTGTAAACTATGGGTTTGAACTTTGACCTCCAGACACTAATTGTAGTCCTTGGAAGCTGACTTAGTTAAGGATGCTGTCGATAAGGAGTGGGAGAAATGGAGGGTATTGCCTGTAGGTGATTTGATTTCCCTTATTTGGGAAAACGTGGTCCAGATTTCTCGCCCCTGCCTCCGAGGTGGGAGATGCCTGTGGGTGAGGCTCACAACTGAGCAAATATGTGCTTGTAGGTTTGCCAGGAGAACCATGGGGAAACAGCTGTGGCGTTTTTGCTCTCGTGCTGTTTTCGTCAGTGCACACGTGAGTCATTGTAGAGGTGCACTTGAGCCCTCATGCGGAAGAACCGGTGCTAGATTTTGCAAGCTTTTCTCTACACGGTACCCTCCCTTGCCCTAGGGCATAAGGTGATGTTTCCCACTGCATTGCCAGAGTCAGGGTTTGATCATCACCACACAATTCTTTTTAAAACTTTTCACCTATTCTGTGTGAAAAGTTTGGGTTTTGTATTTTTGTTTTGTTTTGTTTTTCCTCTCAATCTCTTCATTGGTTCCAGTCAGCATCAAGAAGACAGGAACAAACAATTTAAGTGTCTTAGTAGCTGCTAAAGTGGGATCATTATGTCTGTTTGCCAATAGTACCTGCTTGGCAAACTCTGTATGTTCCTTGAGATCAAGTGTCTTTTTTTTTTAATCCTCACTCAAAGATATGGTTTTTTTTTTAATTGATTTGAGAGAGAGAGAGAGAGAAACATCTATCAGTTGTCTCCTGTATGTGCCTCGACCCAGGATCAAACATGAAATCCAGGTGTGTGCCCTGAACAGGAATTGAACCAGCCACCTTTTGGTGTACAGGATGATGCTTCAACCAGCTGAGCCACACTGGCCAGGGCAAGGTCAAGTATCTTTTTATTGTTGTGGAGATTCTGAATTGAAGAGCTGCTCTGGAAGAGAAAGGAGGGTTTTCCAAAAGGGTTCCTAATCTTCATGTATATGGCTGGTGCTGGGGTTTGCCTGGTGTATTGACAGCACATGTTTTTAAATCCAGGGCTCCAGCAACCACACAGGGATCAGATGGAATGTTCAGTCTCCAGAAACAGCTGTGTGGGTGCAAGGCAGGGTTCATGCCCAAGTGCCTAGGTTGGAATGGCTGCATCCAAATCTGTTCAGGTGTTTTCTTTTTCATTACTAATTAGGAAAAGTTTGAGTCACTCTGGCAGATTTGGGATGGGGGAAAACAAACATGAAAGAAAGGTGTCTTATATCCTGGAATTGGAGTTGTAGGTGGGGGATCCAGCCTGTACAGCCCATGAGTTGGGTACCAAATTGTTAAGTGGAGGGCAGCTAGCTGGAATTAACTGGCAAGCGTGTTACTCTTCTCCATGATGAGCTCTGGCTTAGGATTTGGCCTTGTTATTAGCTACACACCCCCTAAAAAAATACTCCCACTGTACCCCTCTTCCCTCAGTGAAACTATGAACGCTACTTTCTGGCACACAGCCCCGCCACTTTTTTGGTCCCATGCCCAGACTTCTAGTTTATCAAATGGCACCAGAACTCAGGCCAATGTGCTCCTAAGCAGCAAGTTTGGGGAACATTCAGCCTCCCTTGGAAGATGTTGCCCTTCTCTTTTCTAATTTGGGGGACTAGAATTCTCAAACCACTGGTCCTGATCACATTTTGTGCAGACAGCTAAATGTTCCTGAGAGCGATGGATTTGAATATGCTTGGAAGTTCTCACAGAAGGCAGTCAGTCTCCCAAGACCAACACAGAGTCTTCATTATTAAGATATACTCACCCTCCTCCCATTCCAATGCCATTAATCACTTGTTAGGAGCAACATGTCACATACATCATCCCTGATTTACATATTTGTCTGCTCCCTCTACTCTGAGACTAGCTACCTAGGCCTCAGGAAACCCTACTTCACTACAGCTGGATGAGGATCAAGGATATCTCAGGCTCTTGGAATAGCACGTTCACTCAGGTTCTTACATTGAAAGTCTCTCTAATACTAACATCCTGTAATAGCTTGTCCCTTGCACTAGATACTCTTTGACCACAGAAGAGCCTCAATAGCGTAAAGTCCTGCAGACCCTACCCTCTTCGATGTTAATGTCGCTTCCCCTTTAAACAAAAAATGTAAATGTTGTAGTACCCACTAGTTTAAATCCAGTGGTTGTCTGTACCTGCCTGCATAGTATGATCATGGGAGTCAGCTGTTTCGTTAGCATGGGACAACTAACCAATCTGTCTGTGACTTTCTTTAACAGTTATCAGAAAATCTGATCTTAATATCTGAATTCTAAACATATAAAATGTGACAGCCTGCAATTTTGTAGGCAATAAAGTCATGGCTGCTATTTATAAATGGAACTTCAATCAAAATAACTAACTTTATAAAATTCAGTTTTTGTATAGTTTTCCAAGGAAAAGTCACCTTGGTTGAATGTTTCTCACTCATTAAACTTCACAGAAGTGATTCGTATTTGGTACTGTTTAATCACTTTTTTATATAAGGATAGAATGTTTGCAAGGAAGCTAAAGTTTGTTAATAATTTTTATATGACTAAAAATAAATTTGGAGGGATCTATAATCATATTAAGTTGAGGGGGAAAAAAATCACTGAAAGAATTTTAGCAATATAGCAGGTCCTCAACCTCATTTCATTCAACTTTGTTTTGTTATAATATTGATGAGATGTCATAGGAACTTAACTCTTGTTTGTATCACCTGTTCTAATATTCTAATATTAGATTCTTGTTATAGTAATCACTGTATAAATGAATGATATGCTGGATTAATTACCTTGGGTTGATAGCTAGAGGAATTGTTTTGGACAACACCAAAGGTGTGAATGTATGTGTTTTAGTTTTATTTTCTGTCTTGCTAAATAAAATGAGTCTTTGTATTTACTTTTTTATTAAATTGAAATCTAGCAGTAGCTAATATTCTTACTGTATATTGATCCAAAAAAAGATGTTTCATAAATGCTCTATTGCAATTTCAATGGGCCTTTCAACACTGATAAGTTTATCATTTATATAGAGTAAATAGTAAAAGTAAGATCATCATATTTACTGACTCATCTTTTTAAGTGTGGGGATAAAATGTACAGATGCTCCTCAACCTGTGATGAAGTTCCATCCCAATAAACCCATTGTAAGTTGAAAACATATTTAATATGCCTAACCTACTGATATTTATAGCTGAGCATAGCCAACTTAAACGTGCTCAGAACACGTACATTAGCCTACACTTGGGCAAAATCATCTAACACAAAACTTATTTTATAATAAAGTGTTAGATATCTCATGAAATTTATTATGTGTATCATTTTGGCACCATCATAAAATCAAAAAATCATAAGTGAGGGACCATCTGTAACTTGGCTAGCTGCTACTCTGTGTCTATGAACCTAACCGCCACTCCTTTAGTTCTATTCAGTAGGGATCTAGCCATTGTTTTTATTGTTTTCTTATAAAGGAGGTAATAGCCTATCACTTTGTGTTTGTTTTTTTAATTATTGATTTTTACAGAAAGAAACAGCCATCATTTGCCTCCAGCACATACCCCAACCTGGGATTGAACCCAAAACCCAGGTATGTGTCCTGACTAGGCATTGAACTAGCCACCTTTTGGTATATGGGATGAGGCTCCAACCGAGCCACACCAGCCAGGGCAAGGATCTTCATTCCTTCTCATTTCCAGTTTTACGTAAGCAGCTGATTGAATAATCAAACTAAATTTAGTTTCAAAAAGCCCTGAGGGCTTAATGACCCCCTTTGTAACTGAAAAATGATGTGTTATAGTAATCCCCCTACAAATGAATGATATGCTGAATTACATTGCCTTGGGTTGATAGCTAGAGGAATTGTTTTGGACAACACCAAAGGTGTGAACTTATGTGTCTTAGTTTTATTTTCTGTCTTGCTTAATAAATGAATCTTTAAATTTACTTTTTTATTAAAGTTAAATTTAGCAATAGCTAATATTAGAATAGGTGATATAAAGAACTAAAATAGCCCTGGCCGGTTTGGCTCAGCGGTTAGAGCGTCGGCCTGCGGTCCTGAGAGACCCGGGTTCGGTTCCCGCTAAGGGCGCGTACCTCAGTTGCAGTTTGTCCCCGGCCCTGGTCGGTTGTGCGGGTGGCAGCCACTCGAAGTGTCCCTTTCACGTCGATGTTTCTCTCTCTCTCTCTGTTCCTCTCTCTCTCCCTCCCACTCTACCTGAACAAAAAATGGAAAAATGTCCTCGGGTGAGGATAAAAAAAAAAAAAGAACTAAAATAACCCAGTCAGTGTGGCTCAGTGGTTGAGCATTAACCCATGCACCAAGAGGTCGCTGGTTTGATTCCCATTCAGGACACATGCCCAGGTTGTGGGCCTGTACCCAGTGGGGGGCATGCAGGAGGCAGCCAATCAATGCTCTCTCTCATCGGTGTTTCTATCTCTCTCTCCCTCTTTTTTCCTCTCTCAAATCAATAAAGAAAAAAATTTTTATTAAAGATATAAAAAATTGGCCTAGTGAGTTGAGTACAAAATTGTCCTAAAAATATATTCAAATGAATATATATCCCCATTATTAATGTAGAAACAATAAACAACTAATTTGTGAACAGGGCATAATTCTTGGTAGGTACTATAGGGATTTATAATTTTAAAGAATCCATACACTACTGTAATTCTGCTCCAAAGGACAGAGATACTTTCAATTGAACCAAAATTCATATATGAATTTCATATAAGCAATGAAATAATTTTTAGCATAAGTGTCTTCCAAATATTACATGAGACATACTTATACTAAAAAGTTATTCATGTTTACATAAAATTTACATTTAACTGAGTATCCTGTCTTTTTATTTGCTAAATCTGGCAACCCCAGCCCAGGTTTTCTCAGGTTTTTTAATGGTGCTTCCAAACATTGGTTTGAGAACCTACTACACCAATAATACGAATGTACAATAGAACAGAATGTAGATACTGGAGTTAAACTAACAAGATTCAAATCACAACTCCACCAATTCTAAGGTATAAGGTTTTGAATAAATTCTTTAACCTATCTAAGCCTCAGTTTCTTCATCTATAAAATGGGTTGGATGGATTAAATGAAATAACATAAAGGGATTAGTTAGCACTGTGTTTAGCATGTATAAGTGTTCAAAAATACTTATTTTCAATCTGGAAAAACAGGCAAGAAAGTACACAACTAAGTGGAAAAGCAGACATAATGACAATAAGATTACAAATAGGACAGCACATAGAGGAAGATGGCACGACACTGCAGTGCAGCAAACAGCATTGAGATTACATACCTCTACATGTGTAATATGTAGAAAATAACCTGGTATGGCCCTGGAGAGTCAGAATTGCTGAGTTCCAGGCTCTAATCAGAAAAAGGCTTGAAAAGGCTAGAGAGAAAACAAAATGTTAAAACCAGAAGAAAAATGTAGTTTAAAAATAAGCTCATGGGTTGCCCCCAGGCAGAAAGGAAATTTAGCAACCTTATGTTTATAAAGGTTGCATAATGGTTGGCTATGTCTTTTCTGACTCTTCAGAGACCAAAAAGAAGGACATTAGCTTACAGAATACAATTTTTTAAAAGATTTTACTTAAGACTAGCTAAAATTTGAAATGGGGAAAAGCAGGTTTCTGCAAATAGAAAATAAATAAATCTGGGGATAAGCATGGATAACTTTTTCTTCTCTGATGGTCTTTAGAAATTGGAGAGATTCTATGGTTTAAATGTCATTCTATCTATATGAAAGATCAAATGATCTCTAAAGGTCCTCCCCAAGTCTAGTATTCTAGAATCTATATTGACATTTCAAAAGCCAGATGTGACACCATGTTTGCTAAGGGATTACTGTCATGGCTACTTTACCTGCATTCATTTAAACTAGGACAGGAGCATTATTTCTCCATTTTTCTTCAGAGCCAAGTAACCAGACAGCAGTAATTTTCTATTATTTTATCTTTTTTTTATCCCCCCCAAAAGAATCACAGTATGTTCAGAAGGAAACAATTTTAAAATCCGTAAGTTCTTTTTCATAATTCAAGGCCTCAGACTACAGGGATAAATCTTTTAAAAGCTTTATGGCATTTCGCCCAACCAGCGTGCTCAGTGGTTGAGTGTGTCCCATGCACCAATAGGTTGCTGGTTCGATTCCCAATCAGGACACATGCCCAGGTTGTGGGCCAAATCCCCAGTTGGGGGCATGCAGGAGGCGACCAATTGATGTTCTCACTCATCAATGTTTCTATCTCATTCTTTCTCTCTCCCTCTCCCTTCTTCTCTCTCTACAATCAATAAAGGAAATAAATTAAAAGCTTGATGGCATTTATAGTGAGCACGTATACTAGGTTTTAGATTGTTTATGAAATTTGTTCCTCTAGGTATTTGGCTTTTTAATCCTTCTCTTTTCCCCTGTCCTTGCAAACGCTAGGAGAAATTTAAAAACAGTTAACTAGTGAAAGAGTGATTTTGGATTTGCATTTTTTAAGGATTAGGTAATAGGGAAGGATGAACTGTTAAATTAGATGGTTGATGTCCCAGGAAGGGGAAGAGAAGAAAGTAAATAATAATAATAATGATAATAACAATAATAGGAGAAATAAGACAACGATGAAAAAAGTGGAATAAAGTTGATTCAAAAGCACAGCTAAGAAGTAAAGAAATTAGAGCCCTGGCGGGGTAGCTCATCTTGGTCTCCCCCAAGGTAACTTTTAAGAGAAATGCCTTGCCCTGGCCGGTTTGGCTCAGCGGTTAGAGCGTCGGCCTGCGGTCCTGAGAGACCTGGGTTCGGTTCCCGCTAAGGGCACGTACCTCGGTTGCAGTTTGTCCCCGGCCCTGGTTGGTTGTGCGGGTGGCAGCCACTCGATGTGTCCCTTTCACATCGATGTTTCTCTCTCTCTCTCTCTGTTCCTCTCTCTCCCTCCCACTCTACCTGAACAAAAAAAATGGAAAAATGTCCTCAGGTGAGGATTAAAAAATAAATAAAAAATAAAGAGAAATGCCTCAATAAATGTTGACTAAATGGAGAAGCAGGGGTGGACGGACTCACAGTGATTGAACACCTGCACCTGATTTGGGGGAGCAGTCTTCTAAGTGTGTAACACGTTATCTTGATGGGATTCTTACTGCAATTCTGAAGGGAATATTGATTCTATGAAATAAAAACTGAGAAGTTCAGTCACTTATTCAAGATCACAGTTCAGTGACAAAACCAAGATTCAACTGTGTCACTCCTATACACCTCTACACGATTGACTTGAAAGTTTAAATATTCTTCTACTGTCTTTTTAGTTTTTTTTATCCTCACCCGAGGAAATTTTTCCATTTTTTGTTCAGATAGAGTGGGAGGGAGAGAGAGGAAGAGAGAGAGAGAAACATCGACGTGAAGGGACACATCGAGTGGCTGCTACCCGCACGACCAACCAAGGCCGGGGACAAACTGCAACCGAGGTACGTGCCCTTAGCGGGAACCGAACCCGGGTCTCTCCGGACTGCAGGCCGACGCTCTAACCACTGAACCAAACTGGCCAGGGATCTCCTACTGTCTTTTTGAGAGCTACCCACATATATGCCATGATGGTAGGGATGGGGGAGTCAACCTTGTAATTCAAAGACGAGACCTGACCTGACCTATGGTTTTTCTCAATGTGTTTTCAAATAGCATATCACTGTAAGTGTTTTGTGCTCACCCATCCTTGCTCTACACATCCCTTCACCATGATCCCCACCACTGACTGCTGGCCAGCACCTTCCAACTCTAACTACAGCAAACATCTCTCATATCCGCACCATGAAGGACTATGCTGGTCAATTTTACATTTTTATCACTTTTATTAAATCCAGAGACACTGGAATACAATTACTCCCAACATCTTTGACAACCCTGGTTATGTGTACCTGTTAAATGGAGGCCTCCCAAAAAGAAGTCCTTGATGTCAAGGACCCAGTGCGATTTTCTCAGAGCAGAACATGTGACATTCCCTCTCCAGCCCTAGGGTCTGGGAAGACCGCGAGAGAAGAAAGCGAGGATATTGCCCTTGCTTTCCGGTGACCTCAAGACAACCTGGAGAACAACCTTGAGCCCCTTTCTCCACAAATATCGTCCCACTTCGTTACGCTGAATCAACGTTTGAGAATCAACAACAGAGCCAGAAGTGCTTTCCTTAACAAAACTGGTCTCCTGCTTGCCCACAGCACCTACCAGGTCACCATCTGACAAATTTAGTATGTACCTTGTTGGCTTAGTCGCTGGGTCGCCTGGCTCCTCGTCCCGCCCGTGGCCCAGAGCTGGGCACACAGGAGACCGAGCCAGGCCAGGTGGCCGGGCAGGCGACCCACCGAAAGCTGCCTGTGCTCCGACAGCTGCAGGCCGCCTCTGGCCGCGGCGCACGTGGACAGGCCCCGCTGCGGTCAAAGTACCCAGGATTCGGAAGCTAATTATGACAAAAAGGCATTAAACTATCTCATTTGAAGTTTCTCTCCTGGTTACATGTTGGCATCTTATTTCGGCCATATTGGGGCCGATGACACGTGTCGGCACGTCTTTACTTTGTGGGTGCCTGCCTGAACCCTAAATCACGCGTGCGGATCGCCTGTGTGTTGGCCAGCACTGGTCTGAGGGAGGACAAGAGGACACTAACCAGGCCTGAACCGTGCTGTCTTTTCTCTCCCTCGGCGGTTCCTCGCAGTATCTGAGATTCTACAAGCGAGGTCCCCCGCCCTAGCAGCTTCTATGCCCGGTCCCCGCGCACGGAAATCGTGGTTCACAGCTCAGAATGGCAGGGACTGGGAAATTCGCGAGGCATTTTGAAAGGGACTAGGACCCCGCGAGCAGGCCGCGTTTTCTGCTTCAAGAGGGTCCCGCTAGGGCGGGGACAGCAGCGGACCAGGCGACACATCTTTGAAGGCTGTCCCGGAGGCACTGGAACGACGCCAAGAAGGCCCAGCTGGCGCGCCCGGGACGGCCCTGGGGTCCACTAGGACCGGCCCAAGATGGCCGTCGCGGAGGGGCGGGGCCTCCGCTACACCGCCCCCGCCCCGCCCCGCCCCCGCGGTGCCCGGTGTCGATTGGGTAAAATAACTCGAAGGTGAGCGCTGATTGGACCGCACAGAGACGTAATTTGGGCAGGACCGGAAGGTGGTTTCAGCCCTGGGCTGCCGGGGTCTGGGTCTCGACGTTGATCCCTTGGGATGTGGAAAGCTGGCAGCATGTCAGCGGAGCTGGGAGTCGCGTTTGCTCTGCGGGCAGTAAACGAGCGCGTGCAGCAGGCGGTGGCGCGACGGCCGCGGGTGAGGCAGGGGACCGCGTGGGGACGGTGGGCGGCCGCTGTGAGGAGGGGGACACCTGCGTAGGAATGGGTCGTCACGGTGACGCAGAGGGCTCTCCCGGAGGGGCGGGACCCCGCCCCGCCCGCCGCCCTGGCATTCGCCCGGGTTGCAGAGCCCCGAAAAGCTAGCGAAGGGCTCCCTCAGTGACCTCGAGATGAATCCGTCAGCTTTCCTGGAGGTTGGCTCAGTTGGAACAAAAGGTATCCGCTACCCCAGGAAAACGACCGGTCTCCAGGCATTGCGGCCTTTGCCCGTCCCGCTCCGTGGAGTCTACAACCTTAGCGGACGGGAGAAGGGGCAGGCCTGAGCCCCCTGAGCCCAGCAGCTGCGAGAAAAGACGTCTCCCAATAGCACCCTCATGAGGCCAGGTCCGCCTGAGATCACGTGTGTGGCAGCGACTCAGTGCCCTCAACCTTCCTAATGCCCTGCGACCCGTTAATACAGTTCCTCGTGTAGTAGGTGGGCTGACCCGCCTGGAGACGATAGAGGAGCGGTGTCTCGGTTCCTAAGATGTTTTCCGATGGTCGTAGGCGACCCCTGTGAAAGGGTCGTTCGACCCCCAGGTTGAGAACCGCTGGAACAGCTAGTAGATGCTCAGTAGATGTCGGTTCCCCCTGTGGGCGACCTAGACGGTGCACTGATGGGCCGACTACCGAGGCACCGAGCAGCACTTGCGCGTTTGCCGCAGGAGGGAGCTGACATCTAATCCCCTTACAGAGAGACTTTTCCCCCTTATATATATTTTGTCTTCTGTTGGAATTTCATTAGACCAGGGGTCAGTCAGTAGCTGCCCTCCTTGGATGGTGTGGAGTGAGACACACCTCAACGGAGAGGTCAGAGGTTTCTTATCAGCACTTACGGTGTCAGAACTCAGAATACTGGCCAGGAACTCATAGGCACAGATTGTGGACTGGTGGTTGCTAGAGGGGAGGACGGTTGGGGGGCTGGGTGAAAGAAGTGAAGGGATTGAGAAGCACAAATTGGTAGTTACAAAATAGTCACGAGAATGTAAGCAGAACAGCATAGGGAATATTTATAAGTCAATAATATTTTGATAACTATGTATGGTACCAGGTGGGTCCTGGAAATATGGAGGGGAACACTTTGTAAAGTATATGATTGTCTAATCACTAAGCTGTACACCTTAAACCAATACAAAATAATATTGAAAGTAAATCATAATTGAAAAATAAAAATTAAAAACACCAATAAAAAGAATGCTGGCCTGGAGACAGAAGACCTGTGTCATTTCCTTGGCTACTGGTTAAATAGTACATTGAACAAGTTACTTAACTACTCTGGTTCCGTATTTCCTCTTCTGCATAGGCAAAGGAATGAACTCTGATTGCTCTGAGCTCACTCCTGAAGTTAATGTTCTGATTCTCAGTGATTCTCCAAGATAAACTAGGGATTTCTCTAATAAACATGACACTTGGAAGTTCTCCCAGCATAACTCTCAGGCAGATTTGCTGCCTGTTTCATATTTCTGTCTGGAAACCATCAATTCATCAACATGATCCTAGGAGCTAAGACATGTTATGAAAGGCTATTAATACAGCCCTCGGAAATAGAAAGAAACTCTATAATTGACCTGACTCTTCAGGCCCTTTGAGAATACCGTGATTCTGTAAAAACTGCAAAAGGGTGATGTGGTACATGAAAACTGAACTCTGTAAGGAGAAGTGAATCTCTTCTCTTGTTGCCTCTATGTGGATTTTGTTGCAGTAGAATTTGGAGAAGCTTTGCTCTTTATGTAATGGCCATGAGAAGGGGTTCAGATAGATCTGATCTTGATTCCAGAGTTTTTTCTGTGTCCCTGCCGCTGGTTCTTGTTTAGATTGAACAATAGATTACATAGTTATTCTCAGCAGGATGCTTTTGAAAATGAATGGGGTCAATATTAATAATTACACCAGGACCAGAATGAGTTTCCAAAACTGTTAACCTGGAGGTTCAGAAACCAGAAGTGGCCTTCCTTCTATTCAGAGAGTGATGCGTTTCCTTAATGAGTGATTTTTAAACCTCCAACCTTAGTGTGCAAGAGAATCATCTGGAGAGTCTGTTAAAAAGGAGTTTCTCTAACTCCAGACCCAGAAATTGAAATTCTAGAGTGGGACCCAGGTGATGCTGACACAGTTGATTAAAGACTGCATTTTAAGGAAATTTATTGCTTTTACTTACCTGCCCCGCTCTCCTGAAAAATGTCTTTTGCTAGATATTAAAGTAGCTAACATATTAGATTTAGATGCAGTGCATTTGAAAGACATTTGATCAACATTATTTGGCACTGATCTCCCTGCAATACTGGAAAAATGGAGCTTACCAAATACCAAGTTAAGAGCTATGCTGATTATACAGGGTCTATCTTAGAAGACTTATCACGATAATATTCCCAAACATTCACTCATCTGGCTCTTTCCCTCTTGGCAGGATCTCCCGGCCATCCAGCCCCGACTAGTAGCAGTCAGCAAAACCAAACCTGCAGACATGGTGATTGAGGCCTACAATCATGGCCAACGCACTTTCGGAGAGAACTATGTAAGAGCCCTTTTCCAAACTGCCTTTGGAAGAGTCAGTCATGTTTGCCAAGCTTCTGACTTGTCATTATTTTACCCTGTAGGTTCAGGAACTGCTGGAAAAAGCATCAAATCCTAAAGTAAGTAGATACATGAATTCTTGAGCTTGTATCTAAATCTTGGCGTTTCATTTGAAAATTAGACCCATGTTAGTGGTTGAGTTTTAGAGCAGGAGGTTGGGCTGGCAGCAGAAATGTTGTCCCCAGTATTTCTCAAGTTAGATTTTCTTTCTTTATTAAGACTATAGTTTTCTCCTTTGCAATTTTTTGAAATTGGTGATTTCTAGGAGCTTGATGTAATCTTGGATCCTTTTGAGACTTGAAAGCTTTAATCAGTTCAGTCTTAATGGGTGATATCTGAAAGATGGAGAGAGTTGATGGGAAGAAGGAAGAGAAACAGAACAGAAGCCTTAGATGTTTTTCTAAGTATCATTAGGAGTCTGGCTGAAGGTGATGGTAGTGCTTTACTGCATAGACATGAAAGGTCAGAAGCAACTGTGCAAAGTATTTGAGCCAGCTAGGCCTCCATAAAATCTGTGTCAAAAATAGTTACCTTTTTCTCTTCAGATTCTGTCTTCATGTCCTGAGATTAAGTGGCACTTCATTGGCCACCTGCAGAAACAAAATGTCAACAAATTGATGGGTAAGATAACACTCTAAATATGATCATATGGTTTTTCTTTTTTAGGTTGTTAACATGTTGAATTACATTTGTTGATCTTCAGATGTTAAATCAACCCTGCGTTCCTGGGGATAAATTTTACTTGGTCATGAAGTGTTATTTTTTTAATATAATGCTGCATTTGATTTGTTAGATATTGCATCTATATTCAACAGGGACATAGGTTTCCAGTTTTCTTGAAATGTTTTTATTTGGGTTTTATATCAAGGGTAATGCTGGCCTCATAGAATGAATTGGAAAGTATGCCCTCCCTAAGTCTTTTGGAAGAGTATGTGTGGAATTAGTATTATCTTTTCCTTAACCATTTGGTTTTTTTGGTGGTACATGCCCCTAGCAGGAACTGAACCTGGGACTCTCTGGTCTGCAGACCGCTGAGCCAAACTGGCCAGGGCTGGCGTTTACTTTATGGGAAGGTTTTTAGCTATAGTTTCGATTTCACAAATAGATATAGAGCTATTCACATAATCTGTTTCTTCTTGGATCAGCTTTGGTACTTTGTGTCTTTCAAGGAATTTGTCCATTTCATCAAATTAATGAGTTAATGGACATAAGGCTGTTTGTAATTTCCTTTATTATTCTTTATAATTTTTTAAAATATGTTTTTATTTTTTTAAAGAGATAGGAAGGGAGAGGAGATAGAAACATCGATGTGAGAGAGCAACATTGATTGGCTGCCTCCTGCAAGCCCTCTACCGGGGATCAAGCCCACAACCCGGGCATGTTCCCTGACTGGGAATCAAACTGGGACCTCTCAGTCCATGGGATGACACTCAATCCACTGAGCCACACCAGCCAGTCCAGGCTATCCTTTTAATATATGTAGAGCCTGCCCTGGCCGGTTTGGCTCAGCGGTTAGAGCGTCGGCCTGCGGTCCGGAGAGACCCGGGTTCGGTTCCCGCTAAGGGCACGTACCTGGTTGCAGTTTGTCCCCGGCCCTGGTTGGTCGTGCGGGTGGCAGCCACTCGATGTGTCCCTTTCACGTCGATGTTTCTCTCTCTCTCTCCCTCCCACTCTATCTGTACAAAAAATGGAAAAATGCCCTCGGGTGAGGATAATATATGTAGAGCCTATAGTGATGTCAACTCTCTCATTCCTGATATTGTAATTTCTGCCCTCTCTCTCTCTTTTTTTTTCCTAGTCCATCTAGCTAGAGATTTATTTATTTATTTTTCTCTATTTTACTTATATGTTATATGTTATATAAGTAAAAATAATGATGTATTATGGGGTTTAGGATATGTTAAAGCAACATACATGACAATAATAGCATAAAGAATGGAAAGGAAGAAACAGAAGTACACTATTATAAGGTTCTTAAACTTTATGTGAAGTGGTATACCACTTAAAGGTAGACTATGATAAGTTAAACTCTAAAGCAACCAATAAATAACAGTAAAGAATTATAGTAATAAGTCAGCAAAGGAGATAAAATGTAGTTGTAAAAAATACGTGAAACGGTATCTCACGGTGGTTTTCATTTACATTTCCTAGTGACTAATGAAGTTGAGCGTTGAGCATATTTTCATGTGCTCATTGGCCATTTGTATATTTCTTTGAAGAAATGTCTTTTCAAATTCTTTGTTCATTTTTAACCAGGTTGTCTTTTTATTGAGTAATAAAAGTTCTTTATATATTCTTGATACATACCAGACCCTTATCAGATAAATGATTTACAAATATTTTTGTTTCATTCCATGGGTTGTCATTTTACTGTCTTGATGGTATCATTTCTAGCACTCCCATTCCAGAAAGTGTAAGAACATGGTGAGCTTGGCCAGTGTGACTCAGTGGTTGAGCATCGACCCATGCACCAAGAGGTCACCAGTTCGGTTCTTAGGGCACATGCCCAGGTTGTGAGCCAAATTGCCAGTGGGGGGCATGCAGGAGGCAGCTAATCGATGTTCTCTCTCATCGATGTTTCTATCTCTCCCTCTCTTTTCTTTTCTCTCTAAAATTAATAAAGGGAAAAAAAATTAATAACATGGTGATATCATGCCAAAGAAGTACTTTGGCTGCCACTGATTATTCTTTCTTTATTGTCCTCTTGACCTATTTCTCTCAGTTTGAACTGAGATTGAATCAGACCAAGCCTGCTATTAGGAATCTCTGCAATTATCAACCTCTCACAGCAAATGGATACATATGCTGCATGATTATGATATGTCAGCATTTGCCTCTCTTATTTGTTTTTGCTGATTAGACAGCAATGGTTATTATTTGAACTTACATCTAGTAAAACTTTCACATAAGTCTTATTAGCAGGACTGGGATTTAGTGTCTCTTTCTTTTCCTGGGAGATTATTTTTCTGTCTTCCAGAAGATGTTTTGTATGTTGCGTGTTGCAGTGGATGGAGTATGTGAAGAATTGCCTTGCCTCTTTCTCATTACAGCTGTCCCCAATCTCTTCATGCTGGAAACAGTGGATTCAGTGAAGTTGGCAGACAAAGTGAACAGTTCGTGGCAGAAAAAAGGTTCTCCTGAAAGGTTAAAGGTTATGGTCCAGATTAACACCAGTGGAGAAGAGAGTAAGTGACCAGACCTGTATTGTAGATTTTTCTTCCCTTAGGATGTTTAATGCCCAGGAAGAATGGCAGGCCTAATTTATCTGACGACTAAGGTCTTAGAAATAAATCATAGGCCTTTAAGTAAGCTGTGTTATGTAGGATCTAGATGGCATGATGACAGCCACACCAACCCACCTAGTATTTAATGCATCATGATTTTATTTCTTAATTTTTGAGGGGGCAGACAGGGAGAATCAAGAAGGAGATTGTGACTTTGATCTGAAAATTCCCAGAAGTCACCATCACTCTTGAAAGAGATTGCAAAGTTACATGAGAAGTTACTCTTCTTGAGTCCTAAAAAATAACTTACTTAGTGTTACATTGGGAGAAAATAGAAAGAAAATCACTGTGAGCACCAGGCAGTGAATATCTTTCCAGGGCTTAGTTAACAGTGTAACACAGTGGACAGAGCACAGGCATTGAAATCAGGCCGACCTTGGGTTTGAGCTCCACCACTTTCCAGCTTCGTAATCTTGCATACGTTAGCAAACCCGCCTGTACCTGTCTCCTTGTCAGGCAGTGATAACATAATAGTACCTACTCCAGAAGGTGTTGTGAGGATTGAATGTGCTTATGCAGACAGTGTTGTTGGCATAAAACCCTGCACATCATACTTGTTAGCACTTTGTTTCCAGATCAGTCATTGGCTTCCAACCGTCAGAGCACCAGTATTCATCAAATATTAGCATGAAGGAGTTCATTATATGCATCTGTTTTCTGAATAGGCCCTGGAGTCAGGCTACCTGGGTTCAAAGTTTAGTTTCACGGTTTCTATTTGTGTGACCTTGGAAAAGGTAATAGGCTTCCCTGTGCCACATGATTAGAATAGAGATGGTAAGAATACTTATTTCATAGAATTATTGTATTAAGTGAAAAGCACTTAGGATTTGCCACATGCACCTGGCACATAAGTAAGTGTTCAGTAAATTTTAACAAGTATTGTATATATGTGCGCCCAGATTACATATTACATTATCAATGTAGATACATCTGAAATTGACTCCAGATGAAATCTTTTACATCATATCTTGATAATTAGCTATAATTTTTCCTAATTAAATACTGAAGTGAGTGTTCTTTGCATTTCTATATGCTAATAAGGGAGAGACAGTACCAATAATCCTTATAACTGAGTAACAAATGATCATTTGCTGCAGATTTCTCCTCTAGTTGTTAATTAGCAAGTTCTGTAAAATTTAGCAAATTATATAGTCAAAACTGTATCATACATACTTTATTTTAAATTTTTAACAATTTTACTAATAAATTATTTGGAAAAATAATTCTCAGGTTAATCTGGCATTTTGGTGATGTGAATTCTCTTAGTGTCCCAAGAAAAGCAATGTTTTCTTCTTTTCCCTGTATTCTAGCTATTCTCAGGTCAGATATTGAGATAGAGTAAAAAGAGTTCAATTTATAGCTCTTCCCTTGAGAAATTCAGAACCTGACCAGAGGGGAACTACATGAAGACCTCAAATATAAAGTTATTTTTTGGACTTGAGAAAAAGTTCTTTCCAAAGGTCTTCTTGTATGAGGGTCACCTCCTCCATTACAAGGAAGGGATGAAAATGAACCCTTTCTCTGGCTACTTAAAACATTTTGGTATAACGGTCTTTTTTTGTTTTTGTTTTTGTGTGTGTGTGAAGGTAAACATGGCCTTCTACCTTCAGAGACAGTAGCTGTGGTAGAACACATAAATGCCAAGTGCCCCAGCCTGGAATTCGTGGGGCTGATGACCATAGGAAGCTTTGGGCATGATCTTAGTCAAGGACCAAATCCTGACTTCCAGGTACTGGGGGCCAGGGATGGGGGATTGCTGACATGCTAAAGAAGCACCTCAGCAAAATGCTGTTGCAGGGCTGGCTACTGTAGTAAACTTCAAAGACATCCCAGATGCTGTCTGTCAGGTGTTATAACCCTCTTCTGAGCTCTTTTTATTAGGAAAAGAGAACAGGTTTCCAAAACCCCACAGACCCTTCTCAGCTCAGTTTGCCCTTGCTAAAACAGTCTTTAGAGAAAATGAGCTCTTTCTTCTTCTTTATTGACTGATAATTTTCATGAAAGTAGGTGAATTTGCTAAAAAAGAAAAAACTTTCAGTAACTACTAGTAATTTTGACAGGCCTTGAAACCATGAGAAAAAAATAATCTTTGTTCAAATTCAGCCACTTTCAGGCATCCTTGGAGAGGCAGGAATAAAATAGGTGACACACTTGTCTTTCTGTCAGATGTTATTGTCCCTCCGGGAGGAGCTGTGTAAAAAACTGAACATTCCTGCTGACCAGGTTGAGCTGAGCATGGGCATGTCCATGGACTTCCAACATGCAGTAAGTGTCCTTCTGGGTACCATTTGATGGGAGGGTCCAAAAGGCCACAGCAAGCATCAGTTTTTTTGGGAGAAATCTTTGAAGTGCCTCATTGCAGCAACAGGGCATCCAATAGCAGTGGTTCTCAACTATTCTAATATTCCCCACTTCCTACTTCTTTGAAATGAAATGTATAGAAATTATAGCCTGGCGCATAATTTTGTTGTTGTTGTTAATTCTCACCCAAGGATATTTTTTATTGATTTTTAGAGAGTGGAAGAAACTGAGAGAGAAACACCGATGTGAGAGAGACACATCAATTGGTTGCCTCCTGCACGACCCCAACTGGGGCCAGAGATCGAACCTGCAAACCAGGTTACGTGCCTTTGACCAGGAATCAAACCCATGACCCTTCGGTCTCCAGGCTTATGCTCTAACCACTGAGCAAACCGACCAGGGCCTAACAATATAATTCCCTAAGTGGAATCTAAAGGAAAATAAGACAAAATGAAACAGTAATTTTTAAAAAGGCATTTATTGCCCTGGCCGGTTTGGCTCAGCGGTTAGAGCGTCGGCCTGCGGTCCATAGAGACCCGGGTTTGGTTTCCACTAAGGGCACGTACCTCGGTTGCAGTTTGTCCCCGGCCCTAGTTGGTCATGCAGGTGGCAGCCACTCGATGTGTCCCTTCACGTCGATGTTTCTCTCTCTCTCTTCCTCTCTCTCCCTCCCACTCTATCTGAACAAAAAATGAAAAAATGTCCTTGGGTGAGGATAAAAAAAATAAAAATAAATAAATAAAAAGGCATTTATTTTGCTATGTAAATGCTGAACCATAGCTGTATGACAATAAGTCATGATGAAGTCTGATGCTTAATCTTATGTGTAGATTCACCATGAATGCATCATAAAAATATACTGTGTTATGTTGGCAACTCAAATACATGATTTTCTGGAACAGTCAATAACTTGATAAAGTTCCAGAAATCAAAGTATAAACTTTCCTCTTGTGTTTATAAGTAAATGGAATTAGATGCTGTGCTGAGACGACGATAAGGGGGATTTTTCATCTGCCTGACCAGGCAACACTGCAAAGGGGTGTGGGCTGAGAGATAACGCCCTGGGCCCTGGGCCGCTGTGTCCCACACACAGCAGGACGTCTGACCCTCCTCCCAGGTTGCATTGCCTCCGAGGAGAACCACTGCCCTGTCCTCTTCAGCCGTATTATCATTCTTCCTCCTAGAGGCCCCTCAAAAGCTAGAATGAGAGGCACCCCTTCAGCACTGGCTCCAGTTTGTTATTTTAAACTCAGCCCTCCATACTTGCTCTTCTTTCCCACAGATTGAAGTAGGATCTACGAATATCCGCATAGGAAGCACCATTTTTGGAGAGCGAGATTACTCTAAGAAACCTGCCCTGGACAAGTCCGCAGCAGACCTGAAGGCCCCTGTGGAGGTGGCCCAGACACATTGAGCCACGGAACAACCAACTGTGGCTCACAGCCCGAGGGCCCTGTCCAGGAAGACTGATTGTGCACTCACCTGGATGTTCATTTTGATATTCCCCTGGTTACAACACAACCATGCTCTTCTTGTGACCTGGTGAGAGCATGCTGAGGATTGTGTGTATTGATGGAAACCGTCTGTATTTAGTGTCTGATGTAGGAAGCTCACTTCAAGTAGTGGCTTTGGAGTGGATTTGAGAAATCCTGACATTTTTGGGGAACAGATACCAAACCAATAGCCAGGAATTGAGTTTGGTATTGAATCTTGCCCAGGAGAACCAATCAACCCGTGAATGCCTTTCCCGGGTTAAGATTCAGTCACTGATGCCTGTAATCACCAGAGTCAGAGGAGTTCCCATTTGTCATCCATTTTAATAGACAGTTCCCTGTGGTTACCAGCGTCATACAAGCCCCCACTGAGGAATCATCTTTGCTGCTCTGCAGCAAGGTAATTTTGCCTCCCCACTGCTACCCCGCCCCCATTTCCACCCCACCCAGTAAATATTTGTCTCTACTCTGGACCAGCAGTAGAGGTAACTTCAGGAAATGGCTTGAGCTAATGCTCTAAACCCAAATGGTGGCTGATGAAAATCTGTGTCGTTGGTCACCCTGTAAATTATGGGGGTAACAGAAAAAAGGACTTTAGCCTTTCTAACATCCTCCTGAAGGGACAGGACTTTGAGCTTTTTCCCCTGGACCCTACAGTGGTGAGAAGTTAATGATATGATTTCTCATCCACCGTAATTCTCTTTATGGTGATTTCTTATCAAAGCCCAGTGAATCTTGTAGCTCCCCAGAAATGAAAGATTCCTTCAACGCCAGTTCAGGTTCGCAGTTTCAACAGGGCCTGACTGTGAGGTTCCTGTTCCTGAGGAGCACTTTCTAGGCACATTTATAGGCCTCCCCCCACCCCACAGCATTTATAAGCCAGAACTGCAGCTCTTGTTTGTTAATAGAATAGCAAGATATTCAAAAACCAGAAAGCACACTTCTCAGATAGTCATGACAGATGACTTTGATCTGGGTTGTTTATTTCTTGGGTGATTTTTTTTCTTATTTATTTAAGCCCCAATCTTTAATTTTATGAAATAACTTTCAGAACAGGATGCTGCTGCCGAATGTAATTTTGTAAAACTTCAACCATTATGATCCCTGTGCTGTTTCAGTCAGAGCTAGAGTGTGATGCTTCACAGTCTATTAAATAAAAATGTGAGTTTGAATTATGCCATCTGTGCCAATTACAAAGCAATTAAAAGATTTATTTTTTATGATCTGGTGTAGTGAGTGAATATAACAGGAGGGAGGCATTGGAACCGACAGCATGCAGCTGTGCCCATCACTGGCATCACACCAGCTGGCTTTGGAGAGGATTCCCCTTGGATCACAGATGCAGCCAAAGCCAAACCGTGGATGAAAGAGAGATTCTGAACTTCCAAGGGCAAGAAAATAAAATGTTGGCATTTCAGGAATTATCAAAAATAGGGGTTACCTACCTCTTGTTGCAAGAAACCTTTAAGTCGCCTCTAGATGGCGACATCAGCTAGCCTGTGGTGTCAGCACTGCCGCTCCAGCCAGCAGATTACCTTGGAGCAGACTCAGCCTTCTCATACCTTCTCCACAGTGCAGATAGGGAGGCCAGAGAGGACATGATTTTCCCAAGTAATATGGCTGACTGGCAGATCCACTAGGTTCTTTCAGATAACCTTTGCTAACTCAGCTGAGGGTCCTGATGGTGGCTGTGGAGTCCTTTGGGACAGGTGAAACGGTCTGAGCAATGAAGAGCTCTCTGGCTTGTGCCTAGAGATCAAGAACAACAAAGGAGGCAAGCCATGGGAGGCTGAATCAAACTCAGATAAGGAAAAGAAACCAAAGGATGTCCTGTGTACCCATAGCAAGCCAGGACCTTTGACAGAGAAAATCAAGCAAAGTTGGGACTTCGTCTTTTGTTACACATAACTGGCAGCAGGTCTGAAAATTCCTAGTTTTCATCAAAGCAGTGACAGCATCCTCAGCAAGTTTCCTGAATGGCAATAGCATGCTGTCCTGGGTCAGACCCACCCACTGTAGCCCTGCAGTCTCCTGCTTGAGAGTGTTGTCCGTGGCCCTCGGCTGCCTGGTCCAGCCTCAGGTCTGCACACTCCAAGGTTCCCAATAATCCATCAAGGCTTTGTCCTCAGGAAGTGCCTCATGAATTCTGACTATTGCATCTCTTAACAAAGCATTCTCTTAATACTCAAATTGTACTCCCTGCTTTTTAAAACATTCATGGCACATAAAGCTCTCTCCCATATATTCTCTCATCTTCCCTTCATAGCAGTTGGTAGGGAAGTTTAGGCTACTTGCTGGCATCCCTTTGTGGACTGGGCAATTGTCTGAAGTCAGAGCAGGTTGGGAACGGGGCAAGAAATGAACTCCAGACTCTTGGTTCCTGGTCCAGAGCTTGGCCACTTACCACACTGGCATCTTCCATTGTCTCGGGCTGCACAGTAAGATTTACAGGCTGAATCTAAAAGAAACTATTACCATAAAAGAAATGTATGTTCTTAGTCCATTGTAATTGTTGAGAACTGACACATCTTAATGCAAAACAAATTTTGAAACCACAGCAGTGAGGATGAGAAGGAAGGATAGAATTGAGCCCAGCCCGAATACAGTTAGCCCTCCCCTTCTGTCATCCTATTTCCCTAACACCCACATTCCTCCCCCAAACTCAAACTATCCCGCGGGCTGAAGGCTCCATGTGCTCCATGTGCACAGGGCTGTGCCCTTCACCCCTAGATCTAGACTGCAGCGAATTCTGTTCTCCAGGGCTGGACGAGGAGAAATAAAGTGTAACGGGACAATCTTACAATCCAAGACTTCTTTGTCCTTCTGGAAAAAAAGTGGCCCTGTGCTTCCCACCGAAGCTCTAACGGGGGAAGGACCACTCGCCCACCAGTTCCTGAAGGGCTGCCATAAGGGTGGTTGCCGTTATGGTGCAACTGGAAATGATTTGCTCTGGGAACTGTGACTATCTTTACCATGAAATCTGTTGACTGCTATTACATCAGCCTCATGACTAAAGGCAAAAGAATCCAAACCATCCACCAAGATGTTTTATTAATCTGCCCTCTCCCTTCAGGAAGCACATAGGTAAAGAAAAGGGCTTTCTTTCCCACCCAGTCTGCATGGATGGGTATATTCCATGGCTGTGTGTGGCTGAGTAGCTATTTACAAGGTAGAGACCCTTACACTTATTAAGTCCCTCTCCCATAATCACATCAAGGTCCCAAAGGACCTCAGAGTTAACACTTCTTTTCCTATGCAGTCCAGCAGAGATGAGCTGAAATGGCCTGTGCTAGGGACCGAGGGGAGACTTTGGACACCTTTCTGTACTGAAAATAAATTTTACAAGCTCCAGCTCCTGAGCTTTGAGATCATAAAGGAGCAGAAGCCACCCTTGGAGTGTGGAGTGCCTTCTAAGAGGCTCCTTCCCACTGGCTGGCTGCGCCTACCCCCACCGTGCGTGCTCCAGCCGAGGGAGCTGTGCTGCTCTCCAGCTTCGGAGCTAAGCTTGACCCAGCTGCCAATCTCCAAAATAAAATCAATGTGTGACCTTATTCACCAGCTGTACTGAAGAAACTAGCACAAATGAGGGCCAACTTTGAAGCCAAAAAGGGAAGATGAGATGTTGGGAGAGAGAGAGAAAGAGGGGGGATAAAACTTGGCTGGACATGAAAGGTGTCTTGTCTGTCTGTTCCCCATTAGGCACAATTCTCTTGCAATCTGCAGCCTCGACATAATTCTCTTGACCAGAAACTCTCCGGAGAGATAGTGTCAGAAGGAAAAACAAACAGAATAGCATCTCTGACAGCAAAGTCACTTAAAAACCTATTTGGGGGGTGGGGTGCAGGGAGACATGACAGCATGCAGGGGAGGGCACTCCTCCACAGCAGGCCACATGTGGAGACACATTTACCCTGGGAAGGGACAAGAACAGGACAGGAAGGGGAGCCCAGGACAGGGCTGTGTGCCAGGCCAAGCAAGGCCAGCCCCAGGAAGCAAAACTCCCGGTCCTCTGCCCTCCCAGCCCCTCTGATGCCTGAAGATCCACCTGTGTGGCTTCCTCAACTACGCACGCATCATGTGAACCCGTGGTTCCGGGCTTCTCATGCCCCCGTGGTGCACTGAGGGGACCCAGAAGGATTGCTATAGAAAAAAGTGGTCCCAATTCGTCCTACCTTCAGTTTCCCATTTCCGACCACCACCAGCGGCCATGGAACCCAGCTCTCCCTGGCAGCTGGCAGCGGGCTCCCCAGGCAGCCAAGGCCCATTCTCCCCAGGCCCTTTCGACCTGCCTTTGAGCTAAGCTGTCTACTCGGGAAGCCAGGCCCCACCCTCGCCTGCAGGAGCCCAGGGGGTGAGGATTCTGGAGTGGGGGGTGCAGGGCGGGAGAGGGCACAGTTCTGTGCTCAAGTTTCTGGGGCAGGCATCCTGTTATAGGAGAGAACTTTTTTTTAAAGCAAGAAAAACTAATCAGAAGAAAGAAGCGAGAGCTTTCCCTTGCCTTTCGGACTTGTTTATTACTAGGATATCTGATTTCAGCAGAGGAAGCCGGCGCTGAAGCAAGGTTTTTATTGGCCGTGAGCAAGAGGAATTCAGGGTTTGCCTTTGATTTGGCTTCCCCAGAACATGAGGCACTGAAGAGTGCTCGCTGCTTTGATGGAGCAGCTCAGGAGTCCCCACCCCCCCCCACTCCTTGTTTTCTGCTGCAGGGACTAAAATTCCCCTTGGGGGAAGAGGGTGGAGCAGGAGCCCCAGGGTGGAAGGTGGCTTCATAAACATTTCGGAGAGGAGAGCAAAATAGGGGACTATGGTAAAAAGTTCTGGAGTTGGCTCCAGAGGAGCACAAGTGAGGCCACGCTTGCCACCCCCTCCACGAGTGGGGACCTGGAGGAGGGAAGGTCTGGTTTGGATGAAGCGCAGTGTCTCTAGCAGACAGAGCTAGGCAGGCTGCAGGCAGGCCTGGCCTGATGGTTTCAATGTGTGAGGAAGATAAAGGCAGAGATCCGAAGAGGCAGCCTCTGCCAACAAACAGCCCCTTCCTTCGGCTGGGGCCTGGGCCCGGCTGGCCTCTGCGGGAGCGGATTACCAGCTGGGCCCCAGGTTTGAGGAGCTGCTGCTGATCCCCAGGGCTCCCCACAGACACTTTCACACACAGACAGCCGCTGTTTGGGGTCTGGAGCCCCAGCCAGCCTGATCTTACCGTAGCCCTGGGTAGCCTTCCTGCTGCCTGCTGGCTTCCAGAGGGAGGCACCTATACCCCTGGAGAAAGAGGAGGGTGTCCCTCCATTTGGGGGCTTCTGGGTGAACCCAGCCATTCCCCTTTCTCCCTTTCTCCCTCAGGAAGAACCTAGAAGCTGAGGTCTCTAAGTATCCCATGCTCGCCTAGTATTTACCCATTGAGGGTGGGAGTCAACTGCCAAGGGTGCCGAGACTCTGGGACCTGCACTGATTGTAGCGACAGCTCCCCTGGCAGAAGTGGTCCTGCCTCGGCCTGGCTCTCTTCCTTTTCCAGTTTGTGCCCGAAGGCTACAGGTCTGGGTGAGAGTCACCTTCTCCCTCTCTGCAAAGTGTAAGTCTTCACAGGCATCTGCGTGTGCCCTGGTGACTGGTCACAGCCCTTTCCCAGACCGAGTATGCGCCTCGGCCACGCTACGGTGGTGTTGGCTGTCCCTAGCTACGGTGTTGGCTGTCCCTAGCTACGGTGGTGTTGGCTGTCCCTAGCGGGGCTGTGCTCACCTTGGAGGCCCGAGCCCACTCTGGCAGCCACTGTGCGCTTGGCGCTTTGAGCTGAGGCCCAGAGCCTGGGACAGGGGGTGGGGAACGGGAAACAGGGCTCTCACTGTGTCCACTTCAAGGAACCCAGGCATCAAAAGGACTTTATGCAGTAAGTTTGAGAATATACAGGGAGAAGAGCTGCAGGAGTAAAAGTAAGTGGCCACACACACACACAGCCACAGTGCCTGCTCCAAGACTCTGGCACCAGTCTGTCTGGGTTTGAATCCCAAATCTGTTTCTTACCAGTCAAATTACCTTGGGCCAAAGACTTGACTCCCGTAGTGCCTCAGTTTTCTTATCTGTAAATAGGGATGATATTAAGAGTAGCTGCCCCCTGGTGTTCTTGTGAAGGTTGAGTGTGATAAAGCGTGGAACGTGCTGTGCACAGACTCTGGCATGTAGCAGAAGCTCAGTAAACGTTAGAGACCGCACGTTGGACCCAGCCCTGGTGTGCTTTCCAGTCTGTTTGAATCTCCGTGGAGAAACAGGGCGGCGCGCTGATGGACAGAGCAGATTAGAACTGCTGGGAAAACTGTTGCCTTCCTTCACAAATGAAACATGATCCTCCAAGGCTGAGGAAGACCGGGTCCTGCAACAGGCAACTCAAGCCCTGAGTGCCCACAACAAGCTCCCTTGTGGATGTCTCCCTGAGCGTGGCTGACACACCCGGCTGGACACAGGGAGGTGGAAAGGCCCAGC